TACATATCATATTAAAGAAATAAAAAAATCTATGTTTAAACGGGAAGCTTGAATGGTAGTGGCACATGCTTATTGGAATGTATCGTATAATATTGTTTCTCACCAAATACTGTCAAATACCAGATAGAAAATATTAAGTACTGTATGCAATTATGAGTCAAAATATTAAATATTTCACAAATAAATAACAGGTATAACAGTCTGAATAAAAATCACAAAAAAGTACATAATACGAAGATTGTTCGACAATTAGGTAGCTTAAAAAAGAGATGACGCGATTTTTGATAATCTTCTTTTAATTAATACAACCTTACCGAAACTAATTGTTTATGATATTAGTTTATTTTATTGTGAATAATTAAGATGTCTTTTTGTTGGTTTTTATATAAAAAAAAACTATCAAAAGTTGCTTAAAAGAGAGTGAATTAATGAATTTTTTGGTGGTACCTAAATTACTTAAAAACTTATACTTAATAAATTAACTATAACTATATATACTTAATAAACTTAATAAATTACTTATAAAGATTGGTAATCATCATGGCAAGTCGCACCTTCAATATCGCCGTCGTTGACTTCTTCTTCCAAGTATTTTCCTTGCATTATTATTTGAGGTAAGGTATAACGTTCGCGTCTCATATTATGTCATAAATATTATAACTTTCTGATCTTAAGGATATTCGAAACTACCTTGTTCGTTCCCATCCTTCTCAATATTACGACATTCGTGATTAGACCTATCTAGCTTATTCTCAGCATTCTTCCGTATGTGTACAGTTCAAAGACCCACAAGACTTTGTAATTCGTGCTCAAAATCATCATCAAAAGCTATTCCATCCATCGTCGGATATAACCTCCCTTAGGTGTGTCTATTCATTCTTGTTCGTTTTTGCATCCATTTGTGACCAGCCGTTCACTTGATGTCATCAATATATCTAACTTAAGGTATGCTCCTACCTTTCTTATGTGCTCTTGGTAGTCATACAACAATTATCTTCGTCCAATAGTTTTCTTTCATTCTTCATATATGCCCTGCCCAGTTACATTTTACATCTTTTAGATTACATCTGTTATTTTTGACCGTCTTCTTGAGCATTCTCTGATCGATAGCTCTCTCATGCACTTGGAAGTTTGTGGAATATGTTTTTGTTAAAAGCCCACTTTTCAGTTCCATATCTCAAGACCGGCAATATATTATATATATGGAACTGAAACCCAGATTTCAGTTCCATATCTCAAGACCGGGCGACCTTTTGGCCTTTAAAGTATTTGGTAAGTTTAATTTAAAAACTGTTTATAATCTTCTAAATGCTGTTCATGCTAAGGAATTTCTTTTATTTAAATCAGACTTTAGGTTAAGCTATGACAGTTCGATTTTTTGTCATTAGTATACAAAAGACTCAATATTATCTATATTATTATTATCCAGAGTTATATCCTCCGTAATATCTAGAGATTCGTTTGTTAGATATTTAGTTTTTGATATATTTATTTTTAATTATATTTCTTTTGATTTTGCATTTAGGTCTAATAGCATTTCCTGCAATTCATCTGTTTTTTGCTTAACCCTACATCATAGACAAATCTCAGGTGATTCAGTTTTTCTCTGTCTATCTTTACTTCTTTATTTCCCCATTCTAAAGTTCGAAACATATCTTCTAGGGCTAAAGTAAAAAAGCTTGGGTGGGACAGTTGTCTAACCCCACTCTGTAGTTTTTTTTTTGTTTTTACTTGTGATGTTGCATTTTCGTATATATACTTACTTAATGATTTTTTAGCCATCAACTCTATTGTTGTAGTATTGTTATGACTTGTGTATGATTTACGGTGCTATAACCGTTTCTAAATCTGCCTGTTCCCGAGGTTGAAAACTATTCAGTTTGTTTGTTAGTAGCAATATAATAATATTCACAAACAGCTTATACACCTGCTCAGATTCATGTTGTTAAATGAGCTTTTTGCTCATGCTATCCTTGCCTTAATGTCTTCAATAAGGATTGTTAGTTTGTTAAGATAAGTTTGTTCAGATTTGTCTTTACCATAAACTCTGTCTTTTTTGTTACGAGATAAGCCGTTTTCCTCATGTATATCCAATGCTCTGTTAACCATTTGCTGTATTTCGTCCAAGACTTCAGATATTAGTACAGTGTCATCTGCAAATCGTCCATTGTTAATAGCTAAACCGTTTATACCTGGCGGTTTGGAAGAAGTATCTCAATTGTTACATTTAAAAAAATTCAAGCATCTCAAGTAGCTATTAAAAGAGAAACCTCAACGAATTCCCAATCTCCATTTAAACATAGCGGACTATGTTTACATCGGATAGCCAGTGTAGCAACATAGCGTCGGCGTATGCACGGAGAGTTGTCGCACAATTCAAGTGTCCGTTGTTATTTAAGTGCTATTGTAATTACAAGTAACTATCTTTTTTCTACCATTTTAACTCTCTATTTTTGATGTGATTGGTTGGTCGTAATCTTGATCCATTCTGTCTTTTAGTTTAATACTTCTGAGTGTGAATGTGTGAAAGATATGGCACGGAAACAAGTCCATCAGCCACAGAATGTTATATTTATGTTTAAAGATATATTTTTTTTGTTCTTGTTTGTTACTTCCTTTTAGATATATGTATAAATCACTAAAGTTATATTAATTTATATTTCTACTTTTACATCTTTAATAAAATTTATTAGAAATTCTAAGGTTTCTTTATTAGCAGTTGACAAAATGTGTGATAGACTTAACGGAAGCAAATATTTCATTTGAATAAGAGTGTGAATTAATTTATTAGATTTTTCTAAATATTCGTTGCATCTAAAAAAAATATGATTAAGATCTCATTAAGTACTTATATCACAACTGCAGGATAGTGCCGGTAATATTCCAAGCTTAAATAAATGCGACAGGAATCGACCATGATTCGTTTTTAGGCGAAATACAATTGCCGAGAAGAATTTGGTAGTCGAGTAACTGCATATGTATTGTGATGGGAGTGGTAAATTGGAATGTATCTGGAAATACGTATTTTGCGAGTTTTCAACAATATTCTCCGACTGCTGTTCCCATTTCAGACTCACTTTATTTTTTATTGAGTTAAATATATCCCTTACCGTATAAATACTGCAAAAGACTCCATTCTGCACTGCTTCCTTAGCCAAAGTATCAGCTTTTTCATTCCCTGGTATACCTACATTACATGACTTCTAACCTAAATAAATGTTAATATATTTAAATATCATCATCATCAATCAGCCAATCGCGTCCACTGCTGGACATAGGCCTCCCTCAATTCTTTCCAGTGTTCTCTACACTGGGCCGCTTGTAGCCAGTTTCCCGCTACACGTTTAATGTCATCGGTTCATCTAGTCGGTGGTCGTCCTCGGCTTCTTTTATAATTTCTGGGCCTCCATTCCATAATACGTCTTGTCCACCGTCCATCTTGTGTTCTGGCCATATTTAAATATATAATATTTAAATTTGCAATCATATTTTTTAAACAACATGACATAGAACACTTCATTTTTTTAAATTTTGTATTTTTTATGGAGTCTAATGCAGATTTAGAATCTGTTAATATTACTTTTTCGAGTATGTTATTGGATGTTAACCAGCTAACCTTTTGTAATTGCTTAAGGTCAATAGTATAAATGCGCATTTGTAACTTCTTACATACAAATTATCAATCTCTAACCAGATAAGTCTGATGGTGAAGATGTCACTTTGGGGTTTTTCAACTTACTGGTTTTCAATAGGAGTTTTAATTGATTAGTTCCAGCTATTTTATTGGCCCCTCAACCTCGCCTTTCATCCCCTCACGACAGTTGCCCAACGCGTATATCTTTTATACACACTATATTGTACGTAACAAAAATTTATATAGATATTATTATTTAAAACTTAATTATTTATGATAGATTTTAGGTAAAATAATAAAAACTGTGTGTTTTTTTCTTAGACCACGTAGTTGTCGAACAATCTTCGAAAAAAAAAATTGTAACGTTTACAGGATGTTTTTAAACTATCATGTACTTAGTAGGAAACATTGAGCGACTATAATACATTATTTAAATTGATTAAGTCTTCATCAGTGCCACCCTACTTGCAAAACATTAGGATGACTACAAACATTCAGTAGGTAAGTAGTAGGTTCCACTTAGGAAATCGTTAAGTCCGAAGAGGAAATCGAAAAGTAACATTTAAGATATTGTTACGATTTTAAATGTTATGGCATATAGAACTGTAAATATTTTATGACTAATTCTTTTTTTTATTGATTCTCGTAATTTGTAGGTCAAAATCTACCTGAGCTTCGACACCAGCTATTTACAGAAATATCTAGACCCTTCTACAAGAAAGGTCGAATATTCAGGTAACCATGAATGCAGTCGACGGCCGAGAATGACTCACCTAATGGATGGAAAGATCGATGCCTAGCCAGATTTCTCTAGATAACGGCATTTTGATGTATAAATAACGGTGATCCTCATTGAGGGGGTCAGTCAGTCATAAGAAGCTCGGGAACCGCGATATTTAAATGTAACGAAACATAAATAAATTATTTGTAATATAAATTAGGATTAATAAAGACTGTAATAAATTCGTAATTAGTTATCGTGAGTTTTAATAAATTAGAATATAGACAATAAATTAGAATAAAGACAAATAAATTAGAACTATATAAATATAACAATATTTTCAATAACAATTGTGATTTATTTCCATGAAGTAGAGTGGATAGCATGGAAATGTCACAAGCTAATCGTTTTAGACCTGCATATTTGGTTATTCTAGCAAATCTTCACGGTTGATATTTCTTCACTGTTCTATTCATCTTCATTGTTCCTAATTTATATAACTTATATTATACACTAAAGATTATTAAAATCATCTATAGTTGTTTAAGCAATGTAGACAGTATAAAGATAAAAACAACCTGTAAGGCTACCTAATACCTAATTCTTATTGAGCAAAATAATAAAATAATCTCACTACAGCTGTATTCATGGAATGATGAGCAATGTATATAGTTCTTCTAGCTTTATAACATAGTTGTTTGATAAAGAGCTTAAACCGTCTAACTTATGGTTGTCTTTGGTTCTTTCCAAGGTTTTAAATCGATTCTCACTGAAACATAAAAATATGCATTTAATAAATATCTTCTAGTGCAACACCTTTGTTCAACATGCTGTTAGTTGTTTTGCAAAACCAACTGGTTAGTTACTGAGAAAATTTCTCGCTCAACAATATTCCTTAGTACTTGAGCCCAGGTTTGGGGAGTTTTTCTTCGTTATCTACGGGAAAGAATACATCTTCATTTGATGTCCAACCCTTTATAATGACTTCAATTTTGTCTCTAAAGCACCTAGAAATACTGTTGAGCGAAAATATTAGGGGGCTTTATCACGTGAAATACGCTGAGTAGACGGGAAACAAAAAAATTAATGCGTTGAACAAAATTATGCCTAATATGAAGGGTTTTTTGCTTTATAAGCGCAAGATCCTATTGCAAATTGTACACTCTGCGCTTTATTATTTATAAAGATGCTAATTATGTAAAAATATACTGTGGTATATAATAAGATACAACAGATCATACGGTTTATATCTGCGAAAAGTTCGAAACACTGCAGGTACTGTTACAGATCCAGTCTTCTTCCTAAACGACGTATGTAGCAATAAAAATACCTTCATCTACGTCAAAATTAAAAACATTATCATTATATAAATATATAAACATTAAAAAGTCAAATTTCTCTAACCAAAGCATCTTCATTATTATAAATATGTTCCTAAGAGTATGCTTGACAATGATACTTATTAATTTGTACTGGGACCCCGCTGTGCTCACAGACCAAACACTAGCACACAATAGACCAAATCTGATAGTCATTAATATAAAAATAACACTTATAGATGTGGCAAAACCTAATAAGAATAATTTGCGTCTTAAATACAAAGAAAGCATCACAAAATAAAGATTTTGAGAACCAACTTTGGAGACAACGGAGAACAGAAAGTATCCAGACGATACTTAATATCCTATTTCTCACTGAGCCTCTAGATATTCATTCTTTTGATAATTAAGTGTCTGGATTAAGTAATTTATATCTTCGATGTCGTCTATTTGTTTCAGCTGTATCTTCTGTGCTAGCCTCCTTTGGTACATTTCTCTTGTGAGTCGTTCCACAATGATTCTACATTGAATTTTTTCTCGGTAATTTCCTGTACAAAATGTTTTGGTATTATTTTCATTCTTATTTTTGCTAGTACCAGTTTGTGTTCACTCCCTACGTCTGATGAGTTTAAAATTTGGATATCTAGAATCTACTTTGAGTGGATTTTTCTATTAGTGACTATAAAATCAATCAATGATACAAAAATGTATCATTGATTGATACATTCGTATCGATTCGTTAAAAGTACAGAGATTAGCCCATTTGCGTTGACATGGGTAGTTACAGTACAGACATTGCGATAGTTTGCAATAGAATGCCTCTCGTTTCTCTTTAGATTTGCAGTCCTTGGGGCTATAGATGGATATGACATTTAATTTTTGGTAGTCCATTGTGATGCTCATATCTATAATTCTTTAGGAGATATAACGGCAGTTATTTATGTTGTCTTTAACTTTTTTATGGACAAGTATACCTACATCTGCTCGTGCTTCTTTCTTCACTCCACTGTATGCTAGACAATATTGGTTATAGTCTCTTTGGCCTTTACCATTCTTCTTGGTTTCTTGGATTGCACACATGTCTATGTTTTTATTTATCAGTTCTTCTATTATCTCTTGGCCTTTGTTATTAAAAGAAGTAATGTTCCATGTTGTTAATCTAATTGTGGGCTTATTTTTCCTTCTCGTTTTCCTCTTCTTTGCGTGGTTCGTCATCTTAGGTTCCGCCTGATTCCGAGGCTTTGTATCGTTTCTTTGAGCCTTGTGTTCTTTTACAATGGGTAGGATGCTAACCTGGCCTATCAACCCTTTTATCCGGCTTGAGACCATCTGTGGGCATAAACGCGGCTTCTGAGCTACTCAATACACCCAGTCCTCGCGCTCATAACTCCCAGACAGAGTTACCTTCGTATCTATTATCATCAAATCTGGATTTACTAATAAAAGTAAATTGTAAAAAATAACCGATAAAGTAAGAAGTTTATTAAAGATTAGTGTGTAGGAGGGTTGAGTTATGCAACAACTTACCTTAGACCAGTTTCAAGTAAAAATAGTTTTAAGGGAAACTATTTTAAATATGTATAAGACAAGTTTTCCAAGTCAAACTAATGTTACTAATGATGTATTGACAACAGAATCATATTTTTCCAATTTGGACATATCAAATTTTGTCCACCATTATAGATTTATCAAACATATTCTCGCGAATTTAAAGAATACAGTGTGTATTAGTTGATATACTTCACTATGTCAAGATAATTTCGAGGTGAACAAGTACCGATCACGTGTCTGGAAATGTATACCTCTAGCTTATCTTGAAATTTAATGAAGTATAGAAGCGTTAGTAATAATTCCCATCACCGTTAGTAGTTAGTACAAATAATCAAAACTATAGTATGTTAAAACTCACCATAACTTACACCAAATTACGGTTATCTTCATAATCAAATATTGGAATTAGGTACAATTTTCTCAGTACAAATAACTGTCTAAACCAATTTTTTTGTTTTGAATAACATTCGGGATGAGAAAAAGTGAAACTGTCGGGGATTCGTAACGGAATTTCCTGCTCATTGATTGAGCACACTGATTATTGTAATGTAAAACTGTACAACGACAGATGGCTTATTGAGGACGATTATATACAGTGATATATGTAATTTGTATAAAGCGGAAACATTGACCAATACTCAGCGACAGCGATCCCATAAAGCACCAAGCTAGACGTTAATTTTAAAATAATGGTCTACCTTAATCGTTTCTAACTGTAATGTCTGCACTCGTCGTCTTCAGTAGAATTCTACGGTTCTGTCAAAAATTCAAACTTTGAAACAAAAATAAACTAAAATAAGAAATAAAAATGAGTACCTAAATGCAAATGAGTACTAGACTTACCTAGCTTTTTCCTTTTTGTGAGACAACATGGTATATTTACTTACTTCGGGTGAGAATCTACAAGGTTCTAAGTTATTGCTGACCAAACGTCTAGAAACAAAGATTTAAAAGATGTCATATCTGTCTCATTTTAAAATATATACAAAATAGTTATACCAGTATTTTTAACATATTTTTTTGAGTAAGGCAAGAAATAAAATAATTTTTTACGTAGTAGACCAAAAGTAAAGAACAGAGTATGCCAAATTTAATTTTCCCAGAAATGTGTTGTTATAGGTGAAGCATGTTTAAAATTTCTTTAAATTATTCCCCTTAGAAAATTACTTTCACGCCACCTATGTCTGTATATTTTGTTACAAGCCTTAAAAATAACCCAAAAGCAACGAGCAATTTATCATGCCTTTATTTAACAACGAAATAATTTGCCAAATGTTTGCTGCTCTTTTTTATTTATCATTTGTTAAATAGAAACCCTTCCTCGTAACAAAGAAATCAGTTCCTATTGTCAAGCACCCTGTTTACCTTCTAAGAAAAGCAGAGATGTTGGCTTTCGATAAAATAATGTTTCTTGTCAAGAGAAGGTGGTTAGTTTACAAATACGACCACACTAGCCTTGACATTTAAGTATCATTTTCGCGTGGCACTATTTGGCCTATACTCCCACTTTTTTTTATCCTTAGCTTATCTAAGATCAAAATTCGAGCTCCTTTCCGAGTTGGTTCCTGTGGCAAGCGGTCTGTCTCTATCAAACGGCGGTAAGTGTATTTTCAGTTGACCTTTATCTACATATCTTCACACAGTGCTTCCTATATTAACTATTTTCTCTTTTGTCAAACATACGTCTTCCAATTCAAAGAAACGAAGTCACTTCTGTTTGCCGTTCGTCTCTACCATTTACTACTATGTTCGTCTCTACTATTTACTACTACCTGTACTGCTACTGCGTGATCTTCTTGTTCTGCTGCTTCTCTTTCTTCCTTTTCTTTGCCTACATCAATTAGACAGTGTAAGTTAAAAAGTTTCTATTACCTGTAAAAATCGTCATCTTCACCTCCCCATCCATAAAATTCATTTGACATACCATTAACTTTCAAATACTGATCAGATGTTATGGAAACAGCTCCTCCGAATAGTGTTAGATATGGTAGATTATACCTAAAATTTTTTAAATTAATGAATACCATATTCAACTGATCCTTACCCTATGTAGTAAATAAAAATTTATGTGGATGATTTTAACCCTCGGCCAGTGACATAGGGAGGGGCATTAATCTGTACCTTTCGTGTAATATAATGTCCTATATGTGCCAAAGATTAGCATAGGTTTCTAGTTTTACAATTTACTGTTAAAGAAATACACATTATATTACATGATACATATTATCATGGTAAAAACAAAATATATTGTTTGAACTTAACTGTAAAATGAACCATAAAAAGGTGGACAGAAAAAAAACTATTTAGACAACATTTTGTAAGCACACGCTACAAAATATATTCAAATGCCCAATACAAACAAAATTCTTGAATTACTTGAATGAATCCAAATATTTTGTATTTCTGTTTTGTTCGGATATACATATCAAACATCACCTTATATGCAGTGGTTCGTTACGATTTCTTTGTGGTGGAGTTCCCAATCATCATCATTTTGGCTTTACAACCCTGTGTGGGTCCTAGCCTCCCCAAGAATATTTTTCCAGTCATCCCTATCCATTACCTTCCTCCGCCAAGCATGTATTTCCATATTTCTCATATCTTGATCTATGTTATCTAGGAATCTTGTTCTGGGTCTTCCTCTTCTTCTTTGACAAATGGGTCTATCAAGGAGCGTTTTTTCTAGCTGGGTCAGTTTGCTCCATCCGCATTACATGGCCTACCCACCTCAGACATCCTATCTTAATGTGTTTTACGATATCTGGTTCCTGGTATATTCTATAGAGTTCGAAGTTGTATCGCCTTCTCCAGACACCATTTTCATTTACCGCTCCATAGATTTGCCTTAATATTTTTCTTTCGAAACATCATAACATGTTTTCATTGCTTTTTGTTAGTCCAGGTTTCTGAACCATATGTTAGGACTGGGCGTATTATTGTTTTGTAGAGTTTTTTAAAGTTAGTTCCATTTCTGTATGGTTTGTTTCTGTACTGGTTTGTTTCATTCAAAAGTTTTAACAACAACTATCTTAATGTACTTACCTGAAGCTATCCAAACTACTAGACATATGTCTAGGCATCTTAGAACAGGCATAAATATTTCTAGAATTAATAGGAATCAGGTCTACATCGTGCAAAATTAAACAGTGATATTTCATTTTAATGGCTAATTTGGCACCATAATTTAACATTTTCGCTCTATTGAAGGGTAATGAGTCATTTTGATTTACTATAAAAATCCTATAATGCAATTGTTGGTGTTGCAAGTACCAGTGCATATAATTCACAAATATGTTTAATTGATATGTTCTATCTCGATATGGTACTATAATTGCTGATTTCTCTAAAGGTGTGCAGTCATTGGGTATATATTCTCCACCTACAAATGACAATATTATAAAAATAGTCATTTTGTATTACACTACAAAATATTTTTTCAAAATGTTTCTAATTAATTTATTGTTTTTCAAGCAAAATCAAATTGCTCAACACACAAGACCTAAACCAATGCATGGAAAGACCAAATTAAAAATATAATGGACAATGATTTATAGTGCAGATTATGAACGAATCAAATATAGGCTTTATGGGAAAAATGGTTAGCAAAATAATTACATTTTTTCCTGTATATCCAAAAGTTTTATTGCATTTACCCAATGTACGAATCATATCATACCAGAAGTTTTTGATTTAAAAAATTCACATGAGCATATTTTTACCTTCAACAGAAAAACAATCCTAACACTACTTAAAATATAAACTTGTTGACATCAGCAATTCTATAAAAATTGATTAGGCAATTATTATCTCAAAAACATAAGATAAGTATATGGAATTGTTTTCAATAACTAAACCTACATTCAATCCATGTTAACAAATACATGTCATATTTACCAGAAAGTGGTTTTAAGAAATGTTTTTCTTCAGTTATGGTAGATATGTCTACTTCATTATTATCTCTAAGAATGTTCTCATAGGAACAGTTCTTTAAGTCATAGTTAACATGTTGGGGCCACTCTAAATTTAGTTCATTCTTAATGTCACCTAGAGGAATATAACTATAATGTCTAGCATGTCTTGACGGAAAATAAACAGCAACTGCAATTATTAATAATGTAATAACATACAACATTTTTTATCATATTTTCTAGGACACAATCTATAAAAGATATTATTTTTAATAAATCCAAGCTAGAGTCTTTATATTCCTAGAATCCTATTAAGGCTTTAGTTTTATTAATCATATTCTTTAATGTTTCCATCACATAATTTAAATAAAATGTTTTGATATGTATTTTGTTAGTTTATGGAGGTTATGTTTACGTCAATAAAACGAATTGATTTTATTGGTTCCTAATTTTTAAAGCGTTACGATTGGTAGATACAACTGACGTGTTCCAAATCTGACAGTTCGACACGTGGTCTACATTGGCAATCCTGAACCAGCTTTGACATGGGGGAAATAATGACAGTTTGGTGAGATTGATGTGGAAGTAACCAAATCATGCGCACTCTAGACTTACGTGGCAGAGTGAAGTGTAAAAGTGATGTCCTTTATTTATTTACCTTTTTAAGAAGATTTTTAGTTAAATTTGAATTGTAAGTGAGTTAAAATAATAATAGAAGGTCTTAACTTTTTTAAGGATAAGTTTGACAAAATCTGTATGTATCGATTTGGCTAAATTATGATATTCATGTCACCCTTCCCTATTACACTTTTTCTTATTTGTTCCCATTTCTTAAAAAAACCTGAATTGCTCTATTAAACATTCCGTAAAATAAGCTTATTTCAGTTTAAAATAACATACTTAGTGACTGCTTTCCTATCCAAATATTGTTAGGAAAAATATTTCTGTAAGTAAACCATACTGTAAGCTATTATTGCATTTTTGGGTTTATTTTTAATTGGTTCATTTGATTTGAATCTTTAAAACATTCGGTTTCTAAGACATGGGACTCTTTTATATTCTTATTCATCTTTCCAGAAGGTTAACATACCTGACATAATATTTAAGTTGTTATAAAGTTCAAAGAGTAAATACTGTTGAAGGATTATTATTTGATGGCATTGTATGTTTTTAATCAATTTATTAATTGAAAGAGAAAGTGTAATTTATATGCTTGTAGTTTTGTCACAAGCTACAAATATTTATATTTAAAGCAATTAATCAAATTATATCTTCATACTATATTTCTAATAGTACTAAAATAGGAGTAATTTTGAGTGGGTAGTTTTTATATAATTTCAGAAACATATGGAATGACCTTAATATATTCTTATGCACTTAATTAATGAATCTGTGATGTTATTTACACTTATTATCTTGGATAACCAAACTGAGATTACTGTGTATACCAGTTTAAAAATATCTTATATTTACTGTATAGTTAATCTTTTGTTTAATGTATACATGATTTACATTACTTTTAGTGTATAATTTGATGTGTGCCTTGATTTATGAACAATTTTTGGATTTTTACAGTTGTAATGATGTAGACATTGTTTCATAACACTTTCCCTGATAAACATATTTTTTATACATATTATATACAGATTAAGACATTTTTAATTAGGTACTTTTTCATTATTAAATATTTATTATTCCCTTAAATATTATCTAACTTCCTATATTGCCTTTGCAATTATCAAAATATTTCAATAGCAAGTATAATCCTGACTACTCTGTTTTGAATGAAAAATATGCAATCTCTGTCATTACACAGCAAATAACACAACAATATTTATATCCAGATTTAAAATTTGTGTAGTAAAGAGTTTTTAGTGTTGTTAAATTTATAATGAATATATTCTTCCTACCACATGGGGTATTTATATTAGGAATAGAAAATTGGGGACAGAAATTATGGGGGTGGAGATAGGGCAAGCAAACTAATCAATACTTGCGTGAACGGCACTCAGGGTTTGTTTGAAGAGCTGGGGTCATGGGTAAGTAAATGGCAAGGGGGTTGGATTGGGGCAACTACAAAAATGAAACAAAGGGGTGCTAACATGAATATCTTCCGGCAAACAAAACAAAAGGAAAAAGGAAACACCTCTAACAATTTAAAAAGGATGCCGCTTCGAGGTGCCTAATTATAATTTTTACAACAACTAGTTGTAATTAGCGAAATAATTATTAGAAATGCAAAACATATATTTTTCAAATAAAACTCAAAAAAGGGGTTACTTAAAGGAATAAATAAAATGATTAGGAAAAAACATTACTATGTCCATTTTTATTGAAACTGGGATTATTGCACTTTTGAATATAACTTTTCTTGCTCTACAAGTAGGTAGACTGTACTATGTCCAGATACAATTTTACAGCAAGTTAGTGACTTTTTAATAAACACCATGCCCACTTATAGTCAGAGGTATAGGTCGTTTATATTTATTTGAGAAAAATGCGACAACCAGCACCATGACTGGTGAATAACAGGGTAGTACCTACCCACACGAAACAATATGGTATATTTTATAAGAAATTGAAATAAGAAATTTCTATTGTTATAAACAAAGATTAATTTTATGTCTTGATGATTTTGTGTAAGTTTAAATTACTTTAATCATATTTCTGCAATGCATTTTCTATAAAATGTTCAAACAATAATTGGTTTGTATACAAAAACTAATTAATAATTGAGCGAACGGTAGGTAGTTAAAGAAAAAAATATATATTTAAATAATTTATAAAACCTTGATGTAAAAATTAAAAGTTTATCTAGTCAACACTTACTTACATTATATTTTCTCCTAAGAACTGATTTTCATAATAAGGCCACGTTTTTCTTAAAAAATTGAAGCAGTAGTTTGGTGTTGAATATATGTCGATAATCCCTACATCTGATTATGTAAGAAAATATTCCGGGTAAGCTCAGTATTGAGAGAAAGTTGTCTTGGTATTATACTTCGTCACTTTCTTCCTCTGAATCACTGTTCTCCACATTGATAATAATTTTGTTTAAAACAGGAATGTTTTTAAGATATTCTTTTTCAATGTTTTTTACGTGCTCTATTGCTTTCTTCCAGTTATCCTCAGAGATATTTTTAAATTCAGAATCTATTAGTTTCACGACAGTGTTGTAACATTTTGGACTTACATTCTTTTGTCTCACATTATATTTCAGTTGAGACCATAACAACTCTATTGGATTTAAAATGCAGTAATATGGTGGTAATCTTAAAGTTGTATGTCCATTTTTACTTGCTACATCATCAATAATATATTCCTTTACAAATAATTTTGTATTAAGTACCTCTACTAATTGGTCTTTAGTGTAGCAATCTTCAAAATATAGATCTTGTGATAATAAAAAATCTTGCAATTCATCCTTTCTAGAGTATTTATTTGGAATTTTTTTAAGTTGTCTAGAATGATATGATGCATTATCTAAAACAATAACACTGTTGTCTGCTAAATTTGGTAATAACTTATTTTTAAACCACGATTCGAAAAGTTCACCCGTTATATCTTGATGATAGTCCAAACAACTGTCTTTAATATCTTTTGCACTTAATAGTAAGCCATCGGTTACCCAACCGTCTTCCCCTCCACAATGTAAAATGCATATTCGTTTGCCCCTGGTAGCTGGAACATTAACTTTGCACTTTACGTTGTCATTACTCCAACCTTTTCCAATTGTTTCGTTAGTGTCAAACCACGTTTCATCTAAGTAATAAATTTTTCTTCCGCTATTTCTGTACTCGGTTATCTTTTCCAAATATTCATTACGCCATTTTATTAAACGGGCACTTTCCATTATAGTATGTCGTTTATTGATTGTTTTATATTTAAAACCATTTGAAAGTAAAAATTTTCTTAAAGTTGATTTACTACAATTAATAATATTTTTAGATTTTAATTCAGCTAAAATTTGGTTTAGTGTGGGTATAATATTACCTGCAAACATATTATAAATGGTTTCTGAAATGGGACCTAAAACATGTTGCTCAATAGATCGATGTCGTCCAAAGTCGCTCCTTTTTTGTCTATTTGTAATGCCCTCCTTTATGATTCGATAAACAGTAGCACATGAAACTTTTGTTAAAGCCGCAGTTTTTAAAACACTCGCGTGCCGTTCCAATTCTTTACATAATCCATTAAACACATTTAACACAATTTCTTTAGCGTCTTTCGATAAATGTTTTTTTTCTGACTTTTTAATACTTTTTCCACTTGGTCCAGCAACATTTTCAGGATTATTTGGTAGTAGAATTTCCTTATTTTCTTCAACAATTTCTACTTCATTATTCTCAACAATTTCTAATGCACTATTCTCCCATGGACGCCACATTTTTATTTACTTACTATTTTTCTGATAGCGAAATCGTCACTAATAAATGCGTGTTCTCTTTACAGAGTTTAAACTAAAAATTATATGTATCACAATACCGAAAGTCACGTCTTGTTATCGGTCGTTTAGAATTTCGTGGAAATTTAAAAACCTTGGTCAGCACAGCAGGGCTGTGACAAGAACCCGACAATCAAGTAAGAGGAGTCATAAACTTATAAACTTTTAATGATAGGTATAAAAAGGGGCTTACATCGGCAACTTTTAGCAGTAGCGTAAATAAAATCATTATTTTGATTAAATAGACCTAACAGTTATAATATTTATAATTGTAGCTATTGAAATTATATTTTACAGTAATTATTTTTGCGTTTTTCTGAATACTATCCTGTAACAAGGCAAAATATTAAAGAGGAACTATTAAAACAGATGTCATTTGATCTAAGCATTGATCGGTATCACTTGTACTCAAATTGGTCTATCTCTTTAAATTTCTCAATTATTTGTGATCGACCTATAAACAACACCATGTGGACTTGATGTTGTTTACCTCTACTTAATGTGTGTACTATTACTTACCATCTTGACATAGTGTTATGTACCCTGGAAAAAAATGGATCCGATTTATTCCTAAGCAGTGATGCAGGCAATTCTAATGAACATAATGAAGTTATTTTAGAAGAAGAGAAAAGTGTCAAAAGAAAGGTACAAAATGTTACTAAGTGCAAACAAACAGGTAAAAAACATATGGTGAATGAACAAAATTGGGCCTGTAATGTAATTTAGCGAAACAAAAACTAGTTGGTGGGAAAGACTATCAAATTACCGTTTCATGAGTCGACATCCAACCTACTCTCCGATCAAGAAAAAGAGACCCAAACTGTACCAAATCTAAAAATATTACACTACACTACCATTTTACAGTGAAGTGAATCACTGCTTGAAGGTGTGCAAGGTTATGATTTTAAACACACTTTATATATCTAATTTAGTAGTAGTGAATATGTTGAAAAAAATTGAGCCAGGAGGTTTAATAAAAGCTGATTAAAGAGGTAGACACAGGGCAGTCAATAAAACTGATACTGAATCCATAAATAGTATACATCAACATATCAATTCCAACAATAGAAAAGATGTATCAACTGTACATTGATGAATGCATTGAAAGACATGACCAAGCTAAGAGCAAAAAGGTGGTTGTACGCAGATACTTTTAATAAAGACTTCAAGTTGTCATTTAAACCACCAGGAATAGGTACATGCAGTACATTCACTGCTCACTTGAAAAATAATCTTACTGCAGATGAACTAACCAGTGTACAGGCTGATCATGATGCTCACCTAATTAAATCTAAAACTCGGTATAACTTAAAACAATTGGACTTTATAATGGCTAAAGAGTCATCAAAACACAAAACACTATCTGGTGATTTGTAAAAATGTTTGCCTTCACCACTAACAAACAACTGTATTAGTTCCTACAAAATGAAGCTTTGGACATTAAATTTTACATTATATGATGCCAGTGATTCTTCTGTATAATGTATGATGTGGAACGAATTAAAAGGAGTCTGTGGTGCAAATTAAATTGCCTCGTCAATTTTGAAATGGGATGATAAAACAATTCCAGGTACTCAAGTAGAGGAGATCACTCTTTGGACCAATAACTGCTATGGATAAAATAAAAATATAAGTATTGTAATGTGTTATTTTTTTATACTGCGTATGTACCCTCAAATAAAGACGATCATTAAAAAGTTTTTACTGAAAGGGCACACACATATGAAAGCAGACAGTGTTCATGTTTTGATTGAAAGAAAAAGAAAGAAACTCTCCAATTTGGCCATTTTAACACCATGCAACTGGCAACAGCTAATTAGGTAAACATCAGATAAATAAGCAGGGCATAATATGGAACTTGTAGATTTCAAACACTTCAAAACGCTGTTCGATAAGAAACTGTCACCTAACCCTCCTTTTGTAAATAGAAAAAAGAATGTTAACAATGAGCCTGTTTTACTGTTAACATGTGTTTTTCTACAAATCCAACAAGAACACATTGGAAAGCTTTTATAAGACCAGATTCAATAATTATGTATGAGGTGGACTTCATGAGGTATCGAAAACAGCAAGTAACATTTCCAACCTAATTAAATCAAGTCTCTACAATCCCATTACCAAAAACAAAAGTACAATGACTTAATTTGTCATGCGTTTCATCAAAATTTAACACATAGAGATGTAGCCACAAATGATTACCCCCAAGAAGATGATGATATGGAGCCTTTTGAACAATTTTGAGAGTTGTTTGAACAAGTTTGAGTGTATTTAAAAAAAATTATTAGCCTATTACCCTCTCAAAAAAATTAGAAAAGGCACATAAAGTACTTATTTGACAATTGCTAATGTCAGCAGGATCTGCTTTTAATTTAATAACACATTTAACATATACTGCAAGACATAATATTCTCTTTAACATTTTTTTTTAACTAAAGCTTTTGTTCATACTTTAAGATAACTTTTTTTTAGGGTAATTTAAAATGAACCCACAATATCTGCCTCCACAACAGTTTGGAGGTCCACCACAAGGTTTTCCTCCTACTAGCAGAGTATCCCCAAATACATTTCAAAGTGCTCCTGTTGGTCCCCCAAAACCTGGTCAACTTCCTCCTCAAAGTGACCATCGTGCCGCTCCACCAGGTCCACTGAATTCCATGGGACATCCTACCAATAGTCTGCAAGGTCAATTTCCACCAAGTGTAAGTATATTTTAAATCATTAATTTTGTTTTTATTGATTTTCAATTTACCAGTTACATAGCTAAATTATGGAAAAAATTATTGTACAATAACATTATAATAGAGTTCTCATTATACTAGACAATTAATAGAATACAAAAGATGTAATATTTGATTTTGTTTATAAGATTTCTATGTACTTCTCTTAACTCACAAGTTTTTGTTTCCACAGATAAAAATTATTTTTTGAGTAATATATTGCTAAAAAATGATAGTTAACACCCCAGAATTGTTTTTTCAAAATATGCCCTCCTAGAATATGAAAAAAATAATGTCTACAATTGTAAACTAGTAATGTAAGTATTTATTTTTCATGGACACAAAACTGTTGTGATCTTTTTGAAGGCCCAAATGCACCTTACTTTCATGCAAGTCCATCTGGACTTGCTCTTGCAGCCAATATTCTTGTATCATCCAGGAAGGGACACCACAGTATGCTCAGGTATATGTTTCTATTGTCTAATTATACATCTTTAAGAGCCCTTACTTCAGTTTCTCTTCAATAATTATTTCCTCAATAACATCATGGAACTTGTCTGGTTTTTCAAGTGTATCCTCCATATCATCAGGTAAAGGATTTTCAATTTATCTTGGAAATATATTTAATCACTATAGTCACTTTCAAGGCCTTCTACATCAGAAAGACACTTTTCTAGCTGTTCAAGAAGGTCTTTTTCTGTTAAAAATTTCCTCCTAGACATGATTTACTGAAATGAGCAAAAAAAAAAATAAAACTTTCCTTTTATACAATTGTGTACAATTGGAGACATCACATTTTAGGGACTTGTTATAGTCACTACAAGAAATATCTGACGAAAATTGTTATATGGATCGAATAATACATTAGGTATATGCCAAATAAAAACATAAAATTGAATGGATGACCAATAATTTTTGATATAAATATGGAATTACAAGAGCTTACCTGAATAGAACATATAACACAGCAACCACCATGTAAACAGCTGTAATAAGTCGATGCTTTTCTATGCTAATATTCACTGTAAACTAGGCAATACTTATTACAGAATGTCTTTGGATGTATGTGATATGACACAACTGTAAAATGAAGCGAATTGTGGGTAGGGCGGATAATGGAAAAATAAGTCTACAATTGTAGACACTGAGTCAAAGGGTTAATTTGAGTTTTGAGTCAAATATAACTCCAAGATATTTATTTTATTTATTTGTGTATGCTGTTTATTTACATTTTCATGTTTAATTCATTTATTATTCTTATAGTTTCCAAACATAGTCTTATAAGGAAATAGAGATAATTTAGCGGTGCAGCCAAGCACCTATTTTATCTAATCTACAGTTCATTGTTATAATTGTTTCATCCCAGTTTTATTCAATGATTATATTATGATTAATAATACCTGCTGTGTCATCATCGTAATAATGAAAATTTATATCATTATTTGACAAATCATTAGGATCATTTAAGTATAGATAAGATGAAAAGAAGGGAACCATGGAGAGATCTTTGAGAAATTCCCATCTTCATTTCCTTCCCATACCTGTCATATCGTAATATGACAGGTATGGGAAACGAATGGATCCGTAATAAAACAAAAGTGAAAGATGTCTCAACCCAAGTAGCAAAGCTTAAATGGAAGTTCGCCGGACACACCCTAAGGCAAAAAGATGAAAGATGGACTAAAACAATTATACATTGGAGACCATGGAATCATAAACGTAAAAGGGGAAGACCACAAATGCGATGGTCAGATGACCTGAAGAAACACGCCGGGTCAAAATGGATGCAAATTGCCCAAGATAGAGAGGCATGGAAGAAGGAGGAGGAGGCCTATATCCAAGGATGGATGTTAAGGGCTGTATAGATAGATAGATAGACCTGTCATATAAATAACTCTAAAATATAGTGTCTTAAAATGAATTCCATAACAGTTTAACTTTACTAACAGGATTTCAAGTTGAATCAACTGATTTGATCCACTTCATTAAAGAAAATCTTCAGATTCAGTTAATTTCTCATAATTATCTACACTGAATTCCATTTTCTTCTTCCTTCCTTCCTTCTTTTCTTTCAATATTTTTCTCTCAAAGTTTACTAATGTTTTTCCTCACTTTTAGAGAGTGTCCAATTTTCGGAACCATGTGTGTTGTGAGACTAGATGGTGGTTAATAGATGTATATATCATTTGATATCTGTTGGACTATATTCAATATGTACCAATACACTTTCTTGAGGTTTCAATTCTTTTCTGAAATATTTATGTTCACATAACCCGGTAGTACTTGTTATTGCATTATTTTATCTTGTTGTGACCACTGTCAAGCTTAGAAACATGTAGGGAAAAGTCCACAAAATCAAATAAAAAATATTTTTTTTTCTAGTTAAGCAGCCAACTACCCAGACCACCAATTCCATCCAGTCAGTTGCCACCATCTGTGGGACATGACTTGAATAACTCATTTGGACCTTCACCAACAAAACATGATAATATTCCTCCAAGTAATCTACAAAATGGGCCTCCCCAGTTTCAAAACGGACCACCACAATTTCAAAATGGACAGTCAGGTATTGAAAATGTTTATTACTGTTAAATTAGCTGTTTTTTTATTTTACATAAATATTTATGTAATCTACTAGCTTAATATAATAAATGTATAATATAATCTACAACAAACAAGTTCTATTATCAAAGGTGTATTCAGTATTCATTATATAATAATGGTTTTGAAAGAAATGTAAATGAAAACCCCAATTAAAACTCAATTTGAAGAAATCTTCATAACTTGTTTACTTTTTTAATTACTTATAGTGGAAAAATGTATATTTAATAACAGATTACCTAATATTAATCATTTATAACTAAAATACAATGTGATGTTGCTTGCAATAATAATAAATACCATATTTTCAGTTCCTCCAACAAGTCAACCAAACAGACCACCTTCTAATTTCATGCCTCCAAATCAGAACCAGTTTGGACCTTCCCAAACATCAAATCAAAACATGCCTCCCAGACCTTCTTCTAATCAATCAAATAGTATGGGACAACCTCCTCTGCCAAGTGGCCCTCCATCTCAATTTGGACAACCACCTTTGTCAACAGCACCACCATCAGTTTCAAATGCTTCACCACTGATATCAAGTGGACCTTCAACATTATCAAGTGTGCCTCCAACATTATCTAGTGGGCCTCCAACACTACCAAGTGGTTCTCCTCAAATAAGCCACACAGGTGCTCCACCAAATCAACCTTCCCTGCCGGGAGGACCTCCACCTCAAATGGGACCTAATCCACAGTTAGGACAACCACCTTTGCCAGGTGGTCCACCAAGTCATCTTGGTCAGCCTTCTTTGGCAAACCCACAATCCCATCAGGGTCAACCGAATCTTCCTGGGGGCCCACCTCGATCTTTAGGTCAACCTGGTGGTCCACCCTCACATCTAGGACATCCTCCAATGCCAGGATATCAGGGACAACCAACATCACAGTTTGACCCACAAGGTCCAATGACACAACAAAATGGACCTCCAAACGTGTATGGAAATCCACCAAATCAATTTAACAATCAGATGGGTCCTCCAAAAGTGGGGCAGTTTCCTCCACAACAAAGGCCAATGCAACCTCCCCAACCTGGACAGCAGCTCATGCCGGGACAAGGTCCTTTAATAAATGCTTCAGGTCCATATGGACCTTCTTCAGGACCAGCACACCAAATGCCACCTCATCAAGGACAGCCACCATATGGACCTGGCCAAATATCCAGTCAGTTGCAGCAAATGAATCTAACTGGTATGTTGAAATTAAAATTACAATAGATTTTTTTTTAAAAGGTGGTTCTTTCGATGTTAAGCCTATTTTAGAAAAATTATAGGTCTATTTGTTTATCATCAGTGATAAAACCCAAAAATCTTGTCACTTACAACAGCTATTTGTAAAATTGGTAGTACTTTTTAAAAATACTTCTTTTCACATTTAGATCTAAATGTTTATTAAGAGTTATTTCATGTCTACTGTAGTTTGTTTATGATGTAGACCATGGTAACTATTGTACTGTTTTTTAAATAAAACGAGCGGTTCGAATTTATATAAATATATTTATTTATAAGTTTACAGTTCGGTATTCTCTTATCAACTAACTACCTCAATCATCGTTACTTATATAATGTTCCAGAAAATTCGGGAGTGCCCACCTCAAATGCGTGTCCTCGAAAGCCCATCGAAGACGTGCGCTATTGAGATGCCAACCCTTCGAACTTTCTAGAATTATCGTTCTAAGAATTGTGACACATCGGAGATGGGCTATTTCGTTACACTATTCTCTTTATCAAAGTTTTATTAACGATCTAAACTCCCAATACAATTCATTATCAAATAATAATGCAGTTACTTGTATTACCATCTATTATTTTAATAACAATGCTTTTAATAATATTACTTTAACAAACAACGAATTCTAAACAATTAAGTCATTTATTTAGCCATTTATTTATAGTAATTTTGATTATTTTGATAGCGTTTCAAAAAGGTGAAATTGCTTTTGGCTACACTGTTCCCATATTCACGTCCATCTTACATAATGAGTAGTTATTGGTGTTGAAGGTTTTAAGTTTTTTTTTATAACTGGTCTGTTATGACCTACCGTAAAAATAGTATATAATTTTAAATATATGAAATATATTATTTAGAAGAAAAAACAATACTTTTTTATTCTTTATTTAAAAAAAGTTTTTGTCAATAAAAAGTTCTATATAAACTTTTCCCTAAATTCGATCAAGTTTATTTCTCGTTCAAGTTCATGGCGCTATAAACTCGATGACAGCATCCCGAGACATAAAAATCAAGCAGTGTAAGATCTTTGTAATAAAGAGGCCATTGTACTGTACCTTGCATACTAATTAAACTGAAACTTCGGAGATCAAGTAATTTGGTACAGTCTGCTCATAAATTGAGTTGCAACAGTTTTCTTGAAGCTGAATATTGAAGTTTATCTGGAGATTTTGAATAGTCAGAATAATTTGATCTAGAAGAGGTTGCTTGTATACTTATTTACAATGCTGTCTAAACTTTTCCCTAAATTCGATCTAGTTTGCTTCCTGATCCCTAGTATTTTATAGTAATGAGGAATTAAATGGAAACTTCGGAAACCAAGGAATTTAGTACAGTCTGTTCATTAATTAAGTTCAAATTTCAAATTGTAAGTTTGCCAGTAGCCGAACACTCGTCAAAATAAAGGCAGAGCAATAGTTCTATTAAAAAATCTTAAATTCTAATTATATAAAAACACATATTAGCTTGACTTAATTGCTGAATACCCTGATCCAGTTTGCCACCTCTTTAGCCTCCAGTAGGCTGGAACAAGATCACACCTGTGTCTAGTGTTCGTGATCGTCCACTCTCCATGGGTTCCAAAGCGCCACTGCTCCTTTTTAACAAACATAAGGATCTCATAGATATACAAGGAGAGCATAGGCCAATCTGCAATCGTCGCTAAATCCAAGGCCTGCAAGAACTCTTATAGCCTTACGTTGCAAACCAAAGACTCATGGCATCCCCGTCGAATTCCCCCAGACCAAGATTTTATTTGTCAGGTGAAAATGAAAATGGCATAATAAGTTGTTCGTAAGACCTTGTGTGAAACACTTGATGTTAGATTTCTGAGCACATAGAAGTTCTTTGATAGGTTTTTACTCAGATATAGTACATTCAACCAACTTGCACCTCTAAACAATTAACGGAATTCGCAGAAATCCTCTCGTTGTAGTAAAAGGCACGGTAAACTACACTGGTGTTAACACTTTGCTAAATTTTAGGTATAAAATAATAATTAAAAGCAAATTCCATTAATCGCTTAGAGGTGTAAGTTGGTTGAATGTACTATAGTCAATATGTTGACCCCATTGACGCCTGTTAGGTATAAAATAATAATTAAAAGCGAATTCCATTAATCGCTTAGAGGTGTAAGTTGGTTGAATGTACTATAGTCAATATGTTGACCCCATTGAAGCCTGTGGTCCAGGTGTAAAAACAGCCCTGTTGGTCTTTGCTTCATTAAGCAGGAGCTCGTTAACCCAGAACCACTCTTTGGTGTTAGACGACATAGACGTGGAACTCCTAATGGAGTCCCTACTCGCTTTGAGGAATCTTCCTGCTGGATGAAAGAACAGGCTCTTCATTCCTAAAAATCACAAAAGGGGTTATAAACTTTTTTAACAAAAGAAATAAACAAATTGGTTTAGGAAAAACAATTAATTATTTATTGTTATCTCACCACAAACAGAGACATATTACATTGAGTATAATTCACTTTTTTCAACAAATTTGTCGGTTTTTGACGCCGACACTCACATGCGGCTTGACTGTTCAACGATTCTTCCCAACCTCTTTAACGGCACATAAAACTTTACACTGCTACTATAATACACATTTTCCCATGAAAAAAAGCGAAAAAACACAAAACATTACAAATTCGAAGAAAAATTTGGACTAACACTGTAAGCAACTGCGCCTGACGGCGACCTCAGCAAGAGTGACGTAATTATCTTTAAAAATCATTCGCACAACTTGGTATAAACAAAGCCCAAATGGGAATATTTTGTTTATTTGACGACGAAAAATATATCAAAGCGGCTTCGATCAAAAGAATACCAAGGAAATACACATCTGTGATATATAAGCAAACTCTAAAATGGTTTATTATGGACCTCGGTGACGCAAATAGGATTGAAATAACATTTTGGTGTTTTAACATACAGGGTGGTGAATCGTCAAACGGGCCATAGGAAACTCAATGGGAAATTCTAAATTGTTGAATTCCTGCTTCCCTAATTATTTTACACCTAAATTCATGGGAAACTATTTGTAGAGGACTCAAATATGTATCGAAAACAATTGTTAAAATTGTTCTACGACTTAAACGTATTCCAAAATTTTGCTAAAATATAATACATTTTTCAGGCCACCCCTAAAAGTCAGGCCAGACGCCGTGAAAAGAATGTGTATTACGTGTTGCGTTTTATCATATTGACGTTTCTAATATTTGACAATATTTAAATCAACTATGTTATATTTATCAATATGTAAAAATGTAAAAATGTACTCAGTTAAGGAGAAAAGAGCAATAATAAAAATGTTTTATTCATGTTCTATTATAACATTTGTTATAGTTTTATGTTTAGAAATTATCATATATTATTATTAGGAATAAAGATCACAGTAACAGTATATTGGAATTCATTGAATTGTTTTATAACAACATGGAATTAAATTTTAGTGTATTAGAATATCTTACGTTAAATAAAGATCCGGTATTGACAGGAAAAGGTTCGCGCTATTGCCTGAATACAACATTATGCGATTTTTCGTCAACTGAGTACATTTCATTATATTGATCGATTTGTAAACAATATAATTTATTGTTCACAAAGTAATATTGTTCAGTAGTAGTAGTAGTATTTAGTAAAATTCATTGTTTATAATTTAATCATAAAATAAAAAAATTGACAATTCAATTTGTCAAACATCTGACATCAGTATTATAAAACACACACGTTATATATTCTGTATATTATGTGTGGCCTTTTAGGGGTGGTCTGAAAAATCTATTATATTTTTGCAAAATTTTGAAGTACATTTGATTCGTAGAACGGTTTTAACATTTGTTTTTAATTCGGGATTTAGTCCTCTACAAATAGTTTTTTATGACTTTTGATCTAAAATAATTAGGGAAGCAGCAATTCAACAATTTAAAATTTCCCATTGAGTTTTCTATGGCCCGTTTGACGATTCACCACCCGGTATACGGGGTGGGGTGACTTCAATATATACTAAAGAATTTAAAAATGCTACAAAATGGGCGGAGTAGAGAGCTTTACTGTACCATAGCTATATTGCTTTAATTGTCCATCAAGTGAAGGTGGTATGTCGGTTTATTATACTCCAGAAACTTTCCTTTATTTATGAAAATTGAATTCGTTCGAGATCTCTTTGGTCTAAAACTATTCTTCTTAGATCTTAGACTATTTTGTGTTTACTTTCAGGTCCAAAACCGGCTTATCCAGTACCACAAGGCGGTCCCATGAGACCGATGAATGGAGACGGCGGTCCGCATATGCCTCCACCAATGAACCAACCCGGATATATTAATAATCAACAAGGCAGAGGTCCTCCTGGGCCTGGTTATCCACCGATGCCGGGGCAACCGCCGATGCCAGGACAAGGACATATGCCTGGTCAAGGGCAATACCCCGGACCTGGTGGTGGATATCCGCAAGGCAACTACCAACAAGCTGCGCCGGCGCAACACAAGATTGATCCTGATCATGTGCCGAATCCAGTAAGTGTCTTTGAATATTTACTTATTGATTCTAATATTTATAACTCATGTTTAGTTATTTTATTATTGCTTCTTTAGATGGAAAAGATTTGATTTCACGTTTAGGGCTTCTGCTTAGTCACTCTGAAGAGTCCTGCAAGGATGAAATATGCATAAGCGAATATTGATGTCAGTTTTAAATAAATCTATTCCTACTAGAGTGTCTTACCAAAATTATATATTTTAATAGATTTCCCTCACTTTCGGTGCAATTGTTATATATTTAAAATTTATAAGGAAAATTCCTAGTGGTTAGCTGTATACCATAGTTGAAAAAAACTTATGATGAAGTAAAAACTTTCTTTTGTAAAATGGTATAAAATTTTTAAAAATTATCCAAAATAGATTTATAAATTTTCAGGACGTTTTCGATATCATCAGTGAAAAACTTTTATATATTAGTGGGAACTAGCCACATGGTGAGGTCAGATGACCCTACATAATTTGTGTAACTCAGTTACTAAGTAATATAAGGGTTATCTGACCTCCCATGTGACTAGTTCCAACTACTACATAGACGTTTTTCACTGATGATGATCTGATGGGATCGAAAACGTCCTGAGAATTTATAAATCCATTTGGGATATTTTTTACAAATTTTAATAATAGAAATTTATACCATTTTTTAAAAGGAAGTTTGTACATAATTTAAGTTTTTTGTTATATATATTTTTTTCTAGATTCAAGTTATCCGAGATGATCAGCAAGACAGGGACAGCGTTTTTGTTACGAATCAAAAAGGACTTGTGCCGCCTATGGTGACTACCAATTTTGTTGTTCAAGATCAAGGAAATTGCAGTCCACGATTCATGAGATCTACCATATATAATGTTCCAATTTCACAGGTATGTTTTCGTTTATAAAATCAATATGAAATAAAATGATACACGTCAAGTAATCGAAGAAAAAATCTTAATCAAAGTAGATACAGTTATAGTAGTTTTTGATGATGAAATGATGATTAAAAAAATGTCATTTAAAATCGAAATCTACAAAATGTACATAAATCTACGTAATTTACTGAAAATTTTAACTCTCACTGTCAAAAATAGCGGCAACTATTTCTAACTAAAAAGAGTGTCGTTGTTCAGAATGACACGGTTACTTCGAAAGTCGGATTGGTAGTTTGGAATTTTTTATATTTTTTCCAGGAACCATAAACTGTTATTAATATGTTTTCAAGCAAATTGCAAGAGGTGTAAGTGTATGGTGGTGTAAGACTTAGGCACTGAAGTTAACCGGTAATTTTTCTTAATCTTAGTTAATTAAAGAAATAAGTTAGTGGACCCTGAATGATATACCATTTTCTTTTGCTAGTAGTAAATTCGCAAAATAACCGGAATCGTAGCATCCTCTTTGGTAGGTCATCCTGCCTACAGTCCTGACTTGGCTCCGTGTCATTTCTTTGCGTTCCCGACAATTAAAAAGAACTGCGCGGTAAACGGTTTGAGATGCCAGATGAGTTGGTCGAAGTATATAAAAATTCCATTTCTGAGATACCTATTTAGAACTGGCATAAATGCTTCGATCATTACTTTGTTCGAATGCAAAAGTGTATTGATGTTACAGGCGAATACTTAAAAAAGATAAAAAGCTGACTTTTTCCAGAAATATGTTTTACTTCTATTCATTTACTCTACCTTTTCAGTGAATTCCTATTTCTCTCTTTTTCTGTTAGTTTTTTCTTTATCTCACCTATCCAGTTTTGTCCACGTTGGTATTCCGTGAATGAGTCTAATCGTTTAATCTATGTAGCATTTTTGTTTAACTAGCTTCACTAGTAAATTCATCACTCCATCCATCTAGTCGATCTTCAGATTTGTTTGTAGGGCCCTCTTTGCTCACTATCCTCTTTTCTCTATTTAAATAGGTGAAAGAGAAAAGGTTGACATCACGTCTCTATACACCACCTAGGCAGGCACCTGAAGAACGATTAGCAAACTCCACAGCGAACTATTTGAACAACTATATAGTATTTTTCAACATATAAAAACATTTGTAGTTAAACCTTAATTTTGATGTTTTCCACGAACATCAATTATGTGTTCTGAAATTAAGTTTATGCAACTTATAACCCTGATACTGAAAAACGTTTTTAGCAACTTTTGTTTTTTGAACTGTTGATTTTGAAAAGTGTTTTTCTCGACGTCTTGTTAATGTGACAATACAGACATATTCTAATTGTATTCTTTTTTAGGATTTGTTAAAACAATCGGCACTTCCATTCAGTCTCTTAATAAGTCCAATGGCCAGACAAGTAGAGCAAGAATACCCTCCACCAATAGTTAATTTCGGAAGTCTCGGTCCTGTCAGGTGCATCCGTTGCAAGGCCTACATGTGTCCGTTCATGCAGTTCGTCGATTCTGGAAGGAGGTTCCAGTGCTTGTTTTGTAACGCAACAACTGATGGTAAGGCTATTAAAATTTATAATATATTTGAACGATTCTATTATTAAAAGTTCTATATGTTTGTTAAAGGTGAACCCTTACAGACCTGAATTTTAAATTGGCTACAAAAAATTATTTTGTAATATTAGAGGAGGGTCATATTAAAACCCAAAATTGACAGATATATATTTATACATGTCTATATGTCATTTGAACAATGTACATTGTAATGTACATTAGGATCAAGTAAAAAAAAGTTGCAAATTAACAAACAGATTTATTTTGTGAGTTTAACTTTATAATTGTGGGTAATACATTGTAATTACATTGCGTGAAAGTTTTTGAAACAGTTTCTTCCCTTACTTGGTTTTATTTTTCTGGGTACATACTTTTTTTTCTATCACTTCATCTCAATTTTTTGTTTTTTTGGATATTTTATCTTTTCCATTTTGAGAAAAATCATTTATCATTTCCTAAAAAAATTAATTTAATACACAAACAAATTATTGACAATTCTTACCGCTCCAATCTGATTTCCTGCGACATCCGGAGCATTTTTATTATTTGTCTTTGTTTCTATTTCTTCATCACTAGAATTAGATTCAATATCTGAATGATTCTCCAAATACTGCAACATATTTTCACATTCAAGTTCGAATTGGTCATCATCTAATAGCGCCAATAACACCTCACGATCCCGCGGATCATCTGGATTAAAACCTGAAATAATATTAGAACTAAAGCCTGATGCACATTGCAATGTACAATAAAAATGAAAGCTTATTTTCTAACATAATATAAAAGAAAATATAAATTGTATATGCCAATACTTTGATTCTGACGTTTTATAAAACATTTGATATATATATTTTATTAGTTTGTAAAAAGTGCTATACGAGTAAATAAAACGATTTTTTACTTACCTCGTTTACGACTAGTTGACGCCGCCATGACTAATAATTTTCAAAGTTACACAATACGTTTAAACCGATAGCTAAAGAGCAACTGATTTATTTATGTCTACCAAAAATTGCTTAAATTAGCAAATATACTGATTTATACAATTTTTAATATATTATCTTAGTGGATAGGATTACCTAAACTCACTGTACATTGCAATGTACACCAGGTCTAAATGGGTTAAAGAGGAAAGCCATATATGTAAGTTTTTGGGGCAGTACATCGGTCAAACTGGTAGAACCTTTAACAAACGTATAGCAGAACACACAATAATAGAAAAAAAGATTCTATGTACGAACTTCACCTTCTAGATCATAATCATTCTGTTAATGACCAATTTCAAATTCTCCATTATTCAAAATAAAAATAAAGGCCTTAGCTATCTGTATTAGAATCTATGGAAATTAATAAATTAAAAATACAATGATATAATTTTGAATGACCAACTTAACACAAACAGTTCTTTCCTCCTCAACTTATTTAGTTAAAGACTATATGTGTCTCACCGTGAAACGGCTGTAGTGATAATAAATTATAATAAATTTTGTGGAAGTATTGAAAACGAAGTTTTCAGTATTTTATTGTTAGGCAAAATGAACTTTCATGAAGTAACAGTCGAATCCATCACTAATTTCTGTAGTTATTATAACGAAAGTTAGCTGTAAAAATATTTGACGTTTTGTTTTTGTTTTCCAGTTCCAACAGAATATTTCCAGCATCTAGATCAGACCGGCCTAAGAATGGACCGCTTCGAACGACCCGAATTGATCCTCGGCACATATGAATTCGTCGCTACTCCCGATTACTGCCGAAACAACGTTCTGCCCAAACCGCCAGCGGTCATTTTCGTTATCGATGTGTCATACAATAACATTAAATCAGGAATGGTTTCCTTGTTGTGCAATCAGATGAAAGAAATCATTCAAAATCTTCCGGTGGATCAAGGACATGAAAAGAGCAACATGAAAGTTGGATTCATTACGTATAATAGTTCGGTGCATTTTTATAATATCAAGGTAAGAAAGTTTTAATTCTTCTGCAATATTCCGGGTTCGATTTGTCTAGCTTTTTGAAGAGAGGTATTAGGATGCTTGATCTCCATTCTTGAGGAATTCCGTTTTGTTCTATTATTTTTTGATTAGTTTTAATAGTTTTTTGGTCAGATCCTCCGTACTTTATGAGTTCGTTCGGTATTCTGTCCTCTTCGGTGATTTTCTATTTTTTAATTTCGATAATGCTTCCTTTACCTCTTCCTGCTCAATATTTATTTCTTCGTTTGTCGTCACCTCTGGTGTTGGTGGTTCATTATCGTCATCTTTAGCAAATAGGGATCGAAAGTAATCTACCCATGTTTCCTTCTGAATGTGTTTCGTTTTTATTAGTTCGTTCATCTCTTTTCTTTGTCCTCTGATGATTTTCCATATTTCTTTTTCTGTTCCGTAGAAGTCGTGTTCCATCTGTTTTGAGAAGTTCTGCCACTGTTCCATTTTTATTTGTAAAGTATTAGTTTTATTTCTGATTCGTTTGTAGTAGTTATATGCATGTTGTTGTGTTCTGTATTGTAAAACGGCTTTCATTTTCTTCACATTTTGTCTTCATTTCCTCTACAAACCATGGTGTTTTCTTTTTTGATATGTTAGTGTTCGTTACTTTCTTCTGTCCAATTGATTCTGTTGCTGCGTTAATTGTTATTTTTGAGTTTTTCCCAGCTTTCCTTGATGTTATCGTTTTCTAATATTTCATTCCTAGCGATCTTCCCTGATATTATTTTCCATTTTCATCATCTTCTCTCTGATAACTGATAAACTTCGAAGTAACAAAATACATCCTAAAACTAAATACACTAAAAATTAAAACAACCATTTCTCTTTTTTTTGTAAGGATATGTTTCTTAGATTCGTTTGATTTTTACGCAGTTTTTTTATGTTATAGGGAAGTTTGACAGCTCCACAAATGTTGGTGGTAGGAGATGTTCAAGAAATGTTCATGCCTTTGTTGGATGGTTTCTTATGTACTCCAGAAGAATCTGGACCCGTGATAGATCTACTCATGCAACAGATTCCCGCAATGTTTGCAGATACCAAGGAAACCGAAGTCGTTTTGCTACCCGCAATTCAAGCTGGATTAGAAGCACTAAAGGTAAATATATTTTACTGTATTAAGTGTATATGTATGTTTTTCTAGATATTCTATCAAACGAACATTTAGAATACTCTCAAAAATTTTGCTGAAAATGGGAATGATTGAGAAGGGGCGATAATTTCCAATTTCATCTAAAACTTCATTTTGGAACACTGGTAGCACTTTTGTTACTTTTAATACATCTGGCAAAATCCCTTTAGTAAAACAATTATTATAAAGTATAATTAATTTGCCAATAATTATCGATTGTTTCCACAATTATTTTTTGTTTAAAAAATAAAAATCCGTGCAGTGTAAATTTTTCAATCTATGCAAAACATTCCTGATTCAGTATTACTAACAGGTATAAAAATAAAGAGTCACAAGGAGAGTGTACATCTTTCAAAAAATGTATGACTACATTTTCATTTGTGGAATTAAAACAACTTCTAATATGTTTAGCTACTGAAGTAAAGTAATTATTGAAATCGTTTGATATAATGGCGCTTGGACAGACTTTTTTATTTTGAAATTTATATTAACTTTCTAACTGTCACGAGATATATTTTCCGAATTGGAGAAGAAATTCTCATAAGCAAGTTTTTTCTTTAACGATATTGTTGATTTATAATGCTTTTTAAATTTTTTATACTCACTATATTCCTTTGAACATAAGAAAGTTCATCATCAAACCAAGAAACTGGAGCTTTACTATGAGTTCTTGATTTTTTTATTGGAAAATTAATTTCAGTTAACTTTACATACATTTCGGTAATAAATTGAGCTAATTCTGTTGCCGTTTTGAAAGAAACAACTGAAGCCCAGTCAACGTTATTTAACGACTGTTTTAACATCAGGATGTCATTACTTGTTATATGTCTTCTGTATGTATTAGCACTATGACTTTTTTCAGATTTTGTTGTTAAGTAAAGATATTGAACAAGATGATCAGAAATACATTGTACGAAGAAGGTTGCGTTTCGATTTAATTTGAGGTTTATATGGGTAAATTGTTGGTGCATAGTGGAATAGAATTATTCCCAACACCGCTCTGAATGGCTTGATTAAGCTTGGGTATACAGTTTACTTTAATTGCTATCGACGTATCTTCATCTTTCCTCACTAGAGGTATCTAGTTGCATACTCTGGTAGTTATTTTCCTGTAATTGCCAGAGTAATCGGTGCGTTTTGATTTGGTTTGAGTCTTCTTACAAACTCCTGATGACGGGTAGACCCAGAAACACGTCAGGGAGTGTTAAGAGACTCAAATTAAATCGAAATGCAACCTTCTTCGTATATTTATCGTCCTTACTCGACACAATGAGTACAATAATAATGGTAATTTATATGGGTAAATTGTTGGTGTATAGTGGAATAGAATTATTCCCAGCACCGCTCTGAATGGTTTGATTAAGCTTGGGTATACAGTTTACTTTAATTGCTATCGACGTATCTTCTAGAAATAAATTGATTCACGATTCCACAACAAATATCTCACAGCTTATATTTGTTAAAATGTTATCTAAACAAGTTGCTGATCTAGTTGTGATTCTAGTAAATAGTAAATTCAAAAGTAGAAATTAGATTACGAAAACTGTTTAGTTCATTAAAAGCTTTTTTAAAATCAATGTAGAATAATTATATTATACTATTAACAGAAATACACCAAGATTATTGCACTTAAATCAAAATCGACTTATATCGCGGGAGGAAATAGGTCTTCACCCCTGAAGTAACATACCATAAGTGTCTGTCATTCCGTCAGGAAATTACCAGCTCTCCTAAGAAGTATCAGTTACATATTGTCGAACTTTTTCTAATTCCTAAAATTATTAGCTAGCGAACAAGCCGATTTCCTAACACATTGAAATCTATCAGTTTAGCAAGATGTCCTAAAACGAAAGGGGAGTGTGTCTAATTGAATGCTTTAACGTTTAACATATACTCCCCACGCTGAAGAAGGGTTTAAGTTCTGTAGTCCTTACTCGTGGATGGGATTTGGTCACTCTTTCTCAAGTTAGCGGCAAGCAGTTTAAAAAAGCATAACTCAGTGTTGAAGGAAAATAAATAAAAAATAAAAAATTTAAAGATATAAAAAATATATCATCATTCATTCCTCTTCTTTTATATGTCTGTTATTGTGTCAATTTTTGTTTTCCAATCACATCATCCCTCCATTTTTGACTAATATTATCTGTGTATATTCCAGGCTTCCGAAAGTACTGGTAAACTTCTAGTATTCCATTCCACTTTACCGATAGCAGAGGCTCCAGGTAAATTGAAGAACCGTGACGATAGAAAAGTCTTAGGAACTGATAAAGAAAAAACAGTCTTGACACCACAAACACAAGCATACAACCAGTTGGGCCAGGAATGTGTTAGCAACGGTTGTTCCGTTGATATGTATCTCTTCAATAATGCTTACATTGATATAGCCACTATTGGTCAAGTGTCTAGACTGACAGGAGGAGAAGTATTTAAGTATACTTATTTCCAGGTAAGGTCTTCATTAGTTTGTACTATTTTCAATTTCAATACAAGCTATCTACTTTATTTAATGGCAGTTAATTATAATTTTAATTGAAAATACGATTACTTTCAAATAAATTTTCAGAATCATTTCAGTATAAATGGCCTCAAAACAATAATACGTTTTAATTACATACAGATCTGTAAATATTATTTAGTGAACAAGATATGTCTTGATATTGTCTTAGAAATGAATCTAATATAGTTTCATTTTTCTCTTTATTTATTTCAAATGTAATTTTAGGCTGATATTGATGGCGAACGTTTGATAACAGACGTTATCTTAAATATTAGTCGACCAATAGCGTTCGATGCTGTAATGAGGGTTAGAACATCAACAGGAGTGAGGCCCACTGACTTCTATGGCCATTTCTACATGTCAAATACTACTGATATCGAACTTGCCGCAGTAGGTAAGTGGATTATTAAAAATGTGTTCAATATTATTTTATAAACTGCTTTTTAATAAAGTTACAGATTCTCGATCAATAAAACATTTGCCATACAAATTTTATAAGATCAAATGCTTTTTTATTAACAAACATTATCAGTATATTTTTATAATGTGATAATATTCTGAAAAACGTTTCTTCTATCTGTGGTAAAATTTTAACCAAATTTTAACGGACTCTAAGCCAATGAGTCTTTGAACAACCAGTGTAAAATTCGTGTAGCGTGATCTAACTTCGGTTCAAAGACCGTAAGGTTAAAAAATCTGCTCTATACAGGGTGAGTCATAGTCATCCCAACTATTGGGACATAGACTAAGGACAGGTTATTTGGTCCAAAATATGGCTATTGGGCCAAATATGCCTTAATAAAATATTGCTAAGAAAAAAGATACAGGGTGTTAAAGTTAATTTTTGTTTTTCGTTTTTTGCTAATGGTTTCCCTGTATATTTATAAATTGCTATCAAAATTGGGACAGAGGAATAATCTTAGACAAGAAATAGTATTTTATTTACAATTCCATTATCAAATACCAAACTAATAAACAAAGTTGCAACTAACGTAAGGTTTCCGTTTTGACGATAAATCAAAACTAAACACACTTTAACTTAAAAGAACTCACAAAAACTCAAACTAAATGTTCTACATGGTCTCCTCCGATTTCTATGCCTTTTCTAATTCTTTTTATAAAGGATTTTCGGACGTTAAAAAAATATTATTCGGTCTCCTTATAAGATTAGCTGCATTTTGAATGTATCACCAAAGTTCGTCTCTTGTATTAATTTCATTGGCATAAACTAAGGACTTCATATGTCCCCAAAAATAAAAATCTAGCGGGTGTACTCAGGACTTCTTGGTGGCCTTTGAAAATCACTGCCTCTGCCAATCCATCGTTGAGGAAATACGTCATTAAGATGATTTCTACCAGGTAATGAAAAATGAGGTGGCGCTCCATCCTGCATAAACCACATTTTTCTTCTTACATACAGTGACAGATCATCTAAAATATCACTAAGAGTATTTTCCAAAAAGAATAAATAAGAATTCTCCATTTTAATTCGGAGGAAGAACATAAGGCCCTAGTAGTTGGTCGCCTATAATGCCACACCCAAATATTCAATTTAAACTCATTCTGAAAATGTCTAGCTTTAATAGCATGCGGGTTTTCTTCTTCCCAATAATGACTATTTCGCCAGTTAAAAACCCCTCGTCTGGTAAAAGTTGCTTCTTCGGTGAACATAATATTCTTAATAAAGTGTCTGTCATTGCGATGTTTATTCAGAATACGTTGGCAAAACTGTAACCGTCGTGGAAGATCTGTTGGAAGTAAATTTTGAACAGGAGTGAAGTGATAAGGATGGAGGTTCTCTTTTTTTAGAATTCTAACGATAAACGACTGACTTACTCCTGTTGCTGCTGATAGATGTCGTGAACTTATTTCAGGATTTTCATCTACTCGAACCAAAAGTTCATCTTCTTGATTAGGTGTGATTTGTTTCGGTCGACCACCCCGATTTTTAGTGCGAAATGACCCAGTTTCACCTAAACTACGATATAATCTTGCAAAAGTTTTATGATTTGGTTGCCTTCTATTTGCGTATAACATTCCATACCTTCTGGCTGCCGAGCGACCGCAAAAATTTTCTTGTGCGTATACGCAAATTATATCTCGCATTTCTTTATTAGTAAAATGATTGTGACGAGGCATTTCAATCAAAAAAAGTAATGATTACTTTTAAAAAATGCAACATTACACTACACTGTCACATCAAAAATAATTTACTTTGAACAAATGACATTTACCAACAACAATTATCTGTCAAAACTTCTGACAGTCCAAAGCATACTTTTCATAAATGAAATAATATTTGAAATCCTTTTTTAAAACTCTAAGCAGTTCGACTGCGTTTTTATCGAAAACGTTTGAAATTATCATGTTTAAACAAGAGTACCAATTTTACGTAAAAATGATGTTTACGTCATATTTTCTAATAAAAGTTACTAAAAAGTTTTATCAGAAAAAGTTTAGACTCAATTTGATCATTAGGAATGATCCACGTGGCGCCCTCTATGACAAAACGTAAAATTGTAAATAAAATACTATTTCTTGTCTAAGATTACGCCTCTGTGCCAATTTTGATAGCAATTTATGAATGGACAGGGAAACTATTAGCAAAAAACGAAAAACAAAAATTAACTTTAACACCCTGTATCTTTTTTCTCAGCAACATTTTATTAAGGCATATTTGGCCCAATAGCCATATTTTGGTCCAAATAACCTGTCCTTAGTCTATGTCCCAATAGTTATGACTCACCCTGTAGAGTGAAAATGAGCCCATGTTTGTTTGATTTTTCATATGCGCATATGGCTCACGTTCAAATAGAAAAGAATAGAAATATGCTTTATTACCACTGATAATTGTACAATCATATGGACAAAGCTTACAAAAATTCAAAAAAATAACAATAATTAAAATTCACTAAAATTACATAAATCAATCAATAAAATCTTCTCTTCTACTTCTTGTAGATCTTTCGATCTGTTTAATTCTGAAGCTGCCTCTGGTTAATTTACTGGGAGGTAGATTGCCAACTACCCCTCCATTTTTTAGGTGGTCGTTCGGGAGGTCTTGAATGTCTTACATGATTGTACCACATCCTCTTACGCTGCATTACCCATCTTACAACATCTTGAATTTTGCACTGCTCTCTAACGTTTGTATTTCTCACTCTGTCTTTTCTTGTTTTGCCCACTACTGGGGTTATCATTTCGGCAACCCTTAGCATCTGTTTCGTTTTGTTGGTATCTTCGCGCACTTCTATGCCATATATCATGATCGGACGTATGCAAGTCTTGTAGATTCTAATTTTACTATATGTGCTCATATACGGATTTGACCAGACTATCTCCCTCAGCATCCTGACAATGCGGATGCTTTGTTGATCTGACTCCTTAGGTCCTTTACTGGGTCGTGTGGTCGACCACTAACTTACATCTGAGCGGATCTTCTGCTATTGTCATACATTTAGTTTTGTTGGTAGAAATGGTCATATTTATTTGGCGGCTTATTTGAAAGAACTGAAAGAGCTGTCTCTGAAAATCATCTGATTCGGCAATAATTGCTGCATCATCTGCGTAACACACCATACCAATTCTTTTGTTGCCCATTCTGTATCCGAGATTGAGAGATGCTACTTTGTTTATAATTTTTCCCATGAGTAGTAGTAGTATTGCCCTCTGTAGTTTTGTGGGCAAGTTTTTTGTCCTTTTTTAAATATGGGGATTGTGATGCTCTTATGCCATTCCTCTGGTGTTTTGGTGTCGGTTAAGATTTTGTTAAATAGTTGTGACAGTTTACTTGCAAGTTCATTGCCTCTATATTTTAAGAGTTTATTGGGTATACCATCTGTTCCAGGGGATTTTCAGTTTTTTAGCTTCTTGATCTTTACTTCTACCTCTTCGTCATTGATTGTAGTACTTATATCTGCTTCGTGTTCGTTTATATTTAGCGTTTCTTCAGCATCATATAGCTCTTCAAAATGCTGTTGCCGTGTCTCTATAGGTATTCCCTTGGTCTGCACGAACTCGTTAACTTATTTTTCTTGTTCCATTCTGGTTGTAACTCGATCTCTTTTAGTTTGCTGGTAATCCTGTTCTCATAAAGATATTGACCAAGGATACTTGGGTAGCACAAGCACCAGCGTAAATAATATTCAAGTCACCGCATACAATCTTTCTGTTTTTATTGGTCTAACAAATTTTAACATAATTTTATTATGTATTTTCCAGATTGCGACAAAGCCATAGCAGTTGAGATAAAACACGACGACAAACTGTCTGAAGATACGGGTGTATTCATTCAAACGGCGCTGTTATACACATCGTGTTCTGGACAGAGACGATTGCGAATTATGAATCTTTCACTGAAGACTTGCTCACAAATGGCCGATCTCTTTAGAAGTTGTGATTTAGATACTTTAATCAATTACATGAGTAAACAGGCTACATATAAATTATTGGACGGCAGCCCCAGCGTTGTAAAGGTTTGTAATTTTCTTTCGTTCTCTTTTATTTCATTAAAATTTTACAGTACTATGAAATTGGCAATTGATCTATTTTTCAGGAGGGACTTGTCCATAGAGCCGCTCAGATCTTAGCAATATACAGGAAGCACTGCGCAAGTCCAAGTAGCGCAGGTCAACTAATTCTTCCCGAATGCATGAAGCTGCTACCGATCTACACCAACTGTCTTCTCAAGAACGACGCTATCTCAGGAGGTTCCGACATGACCATCGACGACAAGTCGTTCGTCATGCAGGTGGTCCTGAGCATGGATCTTAACTTCTCGGTGTATTATTTCTATCCTAGGTTAATTCCACTACACGATATTGATCCGAACCAGGATCCTATCACAGTTCCGAATCCTATTAGGTGTAGCTATGATAAAATGAATGAACAGGGAGTGTATATATTAGGTACGTAGTTCACTGTTATAATAGTATATTATGGTAATGCTTACTTCAATACTTTTAATAATTAGTAGTAGACCTCAACGATACATCAACGATAGATTATTAAAAATCTCTATAAAAATGCGTAACATCACAACACACCTGATAAGCACATATGCCCCAGACATATCTAAGCCCACAACAGAAACTGAAAATTTCTATCAGCAACTACAAAACACCGTAGATAACATAAATGCTAAGCACAAAATTATCGTATTCGGGGATCTTAATGCACGGATCGGAAACGATATCATACCACGTTAAAACAAAAGTACAACGAAGAAATTATTAATGAAAACGGCGAAACACTAACAGACTTTTACGCTAGAAATGGAATTAGAATCAACAACACATACTTTGCTCATAAAGACCAACATAAATACACTTTTAACAATAATCGAGGCCAGCGATCAATGATAGATTTTATAATCACAAATCGAGTGATAATACCGTCACAAGTACTTGATGTCAGAGCCCTAACATCTGCTAACTTGGGGACCGATCACAACCTTGTTTTATGCAAGATTCTACTAGAACATCCGCAATGAAACAGAAAACCCCCAATGCTCATCGAAAAACACAATATAGAATCGCTAGCAACAAAGAGTACAAAACTCCTTTATGAGAACAGGATTACCAGCAAATGAAAGAGATCGAGTTATAACCAGAATGGGAAGTAGAAGATACTTGGTAAAAAATGCCTCAACCAAGCAGCAGAAGAAGCAATTGGAAAGCGGAAAAACAACACGAGGGCAATAAACCAGACCGAACCGTGGTTTTGTCAAGAGGTAAAAGAACTCTCTGAATTAAAACGCAAATGCTACCTGAGATATAAAAGCACACAATCGGAAGAAGCTCTCGCAGAATATGTCCAAGTAAGAAACGAAGTAAAGGCAAGAATAAAATCAATCAAAATAGAACCTTGGGCTAAATTCACCATCGACATGCACTACGACTTACATGGTGCCCAAAAGAAAGTATGGAAAATGCTTCGGAACAGGACAAAACCAGTTAACGAGTTCGTGCAGACCAAGGGAGTACCTATAGAGACATAGCCAACAGTATTTTAAAACGGTAAACGAATACGAAGCAGATATAACTGCTACAATCAATGACAAAGAGGTAGAAGCAAAGATCAAGAAGCTAAAAAACAGAAAATCACCTGGAACAGATGGTATGCCCAATCTTAAAATATGGAAGCCCTGAACTTGCAAGTAAACTGTCACAACTATTTCACAAAATCTTAAAGGACACAGAAACACCAGAGGAATGGCATAAGAGCATCACAATCTCCATATTTAAAAAAGGACAAAAAACTTGCCCACAAAACTACAGAGGAATAACCCTCTTAAATATAACGATGAAACTTTTCACGAGTATTCTTAAGGTCAAATTGGAAAGGCAAATCACTAATACACTAATAAGAACAACAAGGTTTTACAAGAGGGCGGTCTATAACAGATGCAGTATTCATAATAAAACAAATAAAACAAAAGCTATAGAATTCGGCATGCCAGCGTATATTTGCTTCATTGATCTGACGAAGGCGTTTGACAGGGTTCGTCTGGGAGACATTCTAAATGTATTAATAGAAAATAAAACACCGACGAACATAACAAATATAGTCCATAACCTAAATAACAACAATGTAACCAAAGTTGAAGCAGGAGACCAATTCACTGAAAATATTCCAACATCGGGAGGAATTAGACAAGACGACAGTTTAAGCCCCTTCTTGTGTAATCTACTCATGGGCAAAATTATAAATAAAGTAACATCTCTCAATCTCGGATACAGAATGGGCAACAAAAGAATTGGTATGGTGTGTTACGCAGATGATGCAGCAAGTATTGCCAAATTAGAAGATGATCTTCAGAGACAGCTCTTTCAGTTCTTTCAAATAAGCCGCCAATTAAATATAACCATTTCTACCAACAAAACTAAATGTATGACAATAGCAAAAGATCCGTTGAGATGTAAGTTAGTGGTTGATAAAAACCCCATAAAACAGGTGATGCAATTTAGATATCTGGGCATAGATATATCAAGCACACACGACCCAGTAAAGGACCTAAGGAGTGAGATCAACAAAACATCTGCATTGTCAGGATATCTGCGGGAGATGGTCTGGTCAAATCCGTATATGCACACAGATAGTAAAATTAGAATCTAAAAGACTTGCATACGACCGATCATGACATATGGCATAGAAGTGCGCGAAGATACCAACAAAACGAAACAGATGCTAAGGGTTGCCGAAATGAAAACCCTAAGGACAATAGTGGGCAAAACAAGAAGAGACAGAGTGAGAAATACAAACGTTAGAGAGCAGTGCAAAATTCAAGATATTGTAAGATGGGGAAGGCAGCATAAGAGGATGTGGTACAATGGTCCCCAATGAAGATATCCTAGAACATGGGGGTTTCTGATTTTATAGAAGGAAGCATTTGTGGTAAGTTTGTAAGTTCGGACAAGGGTTGTAGAATCTGTGGGATTGAAATTGAACATCTGGGAGAGTTCAGGAGACTGGCATAAGATAGTGCTAAGTGTTGCCTTCGAAGGAAGAAGAGGAGATGATGGGACTTATAATAAACATTTATCAATAAAATGAGAATAAGGCAAATGCAAAATTATAATATTAAATCATTAAAAGTTAACTTTACTAATAAAATAATACAAATTCACTTAATTGAAATAATTATGTAATATTTAAACAAACAACAACATGATTATCTGCCCTCTTCGAAGTTTAAGCTTTAAGCCAGGTCAGTGTGTTGAGAAAATATTTTACAAACCTTTTAGAATTGCACTTAATAGATGGAATTTTTGCTACAAAAGGATTGCGAGGTCATAAAGCACATCAAAACAAGAAAGCTGGAATATTTAGGCCACATTACCCGAGGTGCGAAATATGAGATATTAATATTGTTCTGAAGCTATTTTCTTGTGGCATTGTAAATTAATTACTATTAAACTGGGAATAAGCCACAATTAAAGATAAAAATACGTTTATTAATAAACGTATTTTTATCTTTAATTGTGGCTTATTCCCAGTTTAATAGTAATTAATGAGATATTAAGGTTCATAATGCAAGGTAAAATCAAGAGTAAAAGATCCATAGGAAGACGAAGAATTTCCTGGCTGAGAAACCCAAGAGAGTGATATAGTTGCAGCTCAGTAGATCTTTTTAGAGCAGCCGCCAATAAGGTACGGATAGCTGTGATGATAGCCAACCTCCTATAAGAGAATGAACTACAAGAAGAACAAGATGGAATTTATTAACAAGTGCAATTATATTTTGCAATATATAATTATTAATAAAGATTGGACAAGTTGTGTAATATTCATTTTAATTGATTTTAAAAGTAGATCTAAACCTATTAATTTTTTAATTATTTTTAGAGAACGGAATCCATATGTTCTTGTGGTTTGGTCTCGGCGTGAATCCGAACTTTATTCAGCAACTTTTTGGTGCGCCTTCTGCAATACAAGTTGATATCGATAGGAGTGGTTTGCCGGAATTAGATAACCCATTGTCGATAGCAGTTAGGACAATAATCGACGAAATCAGGATACAGAAACATAGGTGTATGCGGGTAAGTATTTTTTACCTTAACAGAACTTATACTGTACATCAGAAGAGCTTTTGGAGATTTCTTCATTGTTATTTGATCACATTGGATTTTTAGTTGGAAATGATAGCTAAAACTCGGGAATATCATTATGATTGTTTAAATCACCAGAAATAAGTCAATCTATTTGTCTTTTTCCAACTATATTTATCTGTCCCTCTTTCTCCGTATTTCTTCCCGCTTTCCATCTCTCCGTTTATTTTCCGGTTTCCCTGTCTTTTCTTCCCTCCCTTCTCTCTCTATCTTTCTCTCTCTCTCTCTCTCTATTTACCTCTGTTTGTCTTTGTTTCCCACTATCTCTCTGTTTGTTTATTTATCTCTGCTCTTCTTCCTCTACCTTTTTATATTTTTCTCTATCTGCCTTCATTTATCTCCTATCAATCCATCGAGCAATAAGACAAAAGAGGGAATCTAATGGTTATAAAAAGGAGACCAAAAAAGTGGCCTCTGATGGCGGACACATCCGGAAATGCAAAGGCGCCAAATTTAAATTTTCCGATACTTATTAACAGTAGCTATATAATATTTTTCAGAATGTGTCTTAGACGACAAAGTTTTAATTAATTATTAATGATAAGAGTCTAAAATGCGACACAATTGTTAAAAAACTTCAATATAAATAAGATTTCATGTGACATTTGGGACAAACAATAACATAACCCAACTAAATTTGATGTCAAACAAGGAGAGAGACTGTCTATCCTTGTCTAAAGTGGCCTCTCAAGATGGCACTTCCTGTCTATCAATATATTTACCCCTTCTACCTTTACATTCCCTCTTTTGTCTTATTGCTCGATGTATCAATCTCTCCCATCTCTCTCTGTCACTCTCACTCCTTTCTCTGTCACTCTCTTCCCTCTCTGTCACTCTCACTCCTTTCTCTGTCACTCTCTTCCTGTCTATCTATTTATTTTGTGTCTATTACTTTCTATCTTTTTCCGTATCAGCATGTATCTCTCATTCTATCTCTGTATACCCCCCTTTTCTTTCTCTCTTTTTATTTCTCCCCTTCGTCCTTATCTTTCATTGTTTCTGCACCTTTCTCTCCTACTCTACCTCAGTGTATACCTCTATCTTTTTCCTCTATATCTTTTCCTTATATTTCCTTATACCTGTTTCTGTATTTATTCCTCTATATCCCTGTCTGTCTGTTTCTCCTTCTCTATATGTGTATCCCTCTCTCACTGTCTATTTCTTTGTGTCTGTTTTACATCTGGTTTGTTCTTTTCTGACTACTATTATTTTAGGTGCTGAGATGAGATTGTCATAATAAATTCTTTTGCTCTTATGTTAAATCTATGGACCAGTCTTTGCAGTCTATCTTCGTCTTGAGCTATCAATATTGCGTCGTCTGCGTAACAGAGTATTTTTATTTCTTTGTTTCCCATTCTGTATCCTCTTTCTTTGTTAACGCTTTTAATGATTTCATCCATAATCAAATTGAAGAGTATGGGGCTCTATGAATCCCCTTTTCTTATTCTGCCTATTTCTATAGGTTCTGTAAGTTGTCCTTCTATTCTGACTTCCATTTTGTTGTTTTGGTAGATGCTTTCGATAGTTTTTACAATATTTAGGGGAACTTCTCTATTATACATAGGATGGATTACATCTACATCTTTGGGTCTTACCCTATCAAACACTTTCTTTAAGAAAAACCAAACACAGAAATGCCGGTCTATTATACTCTAGTGATTTCTCAGTAATTTGCTTTATAACGAATATTGCGTTTGTACACGATCTTCCACTACGAAAACTCTTTTGTTCATCTGCTAAACTTATCCTATGGTTTATTACCACTTGTAAATTTTTTGTTATAAGTTTTAGCGTAGTATTTAATAAGTTTATACCTCTGTAGTTTTCTGGCTGTTTTTTATCTCCTTTTTTGAATAGTAGAATTAGTTAGCTCGTTCTCCATTCTTCCGGTATTTTATTGTGTTTTATAATTTTATTAATTAATGTTGTTAATTGTTCTGTCATTGCTACTCCACAATATTTCAGTTTGGTATCCCGTCTTTACCTGCCGCTTTTCTGTTCTTCAGATTTTCAAGTATTTTCAGAACTTCCTGTACATTTATATTAAGTTCTTTATTTGCCGTTTAGTTTCTCGTTCTAGTATGGTTTGTTTGTATCGTATCGTAAAATAAGGAGTCGTTCAGTTCTCCAGAAAGGGTTCCGATCTTTGTGGAAGTTAGTCGCTGTCGGTGGTTGTTGGTTGGATTAAGGGGGCTGTTGGTCTAGTCTAGATTATATCAATTATTTTTGTCTCAAGGTTGGTAAATGGGTTTCAAATTATATTCTGATGCATCAGTGGATTTAAAGTAGTATGGGTGGTTGCTGATTGTTTCCCCAAGGTAGTGTGGTTGGCTGTTGTTTGCTTCCCAAGGTAGTGTGGTTGGCTATTGCTTGCTCCCCACGGTAGTGGCTAGAAAATTCATACAAAGATCAGTTTTCTCCCAAAAGAAAAACCCGATCACAAATAAAGCTGCGTATTCAGAGAAAAACGATCTCAGCAATATCTCTGATGACAGCGTGGCATTAATAAAAATAAATTTATAGGAAAATATTTTATTAATAAGATATTAAAGGAAATAAGGTAATATAGGTACATATATTAAATAAAAAAAAAAATAAAAGTTAAAATGTTTTCAGCTTTATTTTAAGAAAGAAAGTATCTGCTATGCAAAAGAAAACAATTAGAAAGCATAGGCCTAAATCTAGAAACAGATATTGACCCGTGTATACGGCTAAGACACTAATCAATTTGTGTGACTAAAGTTTCATTGTAGAATGATTGTAGTGATATGATTGAAAAGAGAGTGAATAAAAATTTGTATCAGTTTATATAGGATGGAACGGCTACTAAAAATATTTATAATTTAGTGAGGTCGCTTTGGAATAATATAGTACGGGAGACAAATACCAAGCGGAGCTTGGTGTCACGTTCAATTGGTTGATTGAAACGTTACACACCCAAGGTACCTGAAATTTTTTTTACAGAGAGCTTATAAGCTGTAGGTAGTCAATCCACGTATCCTTTTCTATATGTTTTGGTTCTATTAGTTTCTTTACCTCCATTCCTTGACCTCTTATGAAACGCCATATTTTTCTTTTGCAGACCGTAAAATTCATGTTCCGTTTCTTTCAAAAAGCGTTCTCAGTGATCATTTTTTATTTTTCTTACAAGTGCATGTGTTTCGTTTCTAATTGTCTTGTAATTATGGTATGTCTCTTGTGTTTTGGTTGACATGTATTTCATCGTTTCAGCTTCTTTCTTTTCTTTACATTTTTCCTTCACTTTTGTACAAAACCATGGAGTTCTTCGCTTTATAAACGATTTATTTTTACTTACTTACTAAACTTCCTTGGCCGAGGCTAAGGTATTAAACTTAATTTTTCGTAGCTTTCTTCGACTCATCATTTTCTGTGGTAGATGTGTTTCTGTTTTTTTCGATTATTCTTTTTTTGGAATAGGTATCTTGTATGGAGTCATCCTGTAAGCTTTCGACTTTTATCTTTGTGGTATATTCTGATGTTTTATTATCACAAAGGCAAAGATAAATCGTTTTAAAAGGTCGGCATTGAACAATTAGAAACGTGTTGGAATTATTGTATTGCCGTTAAAGAGATTATTTTGATAAACAAATGGCCCGGGAATTATTGCTTAACGGCATACATTTTCTACTGCCATTTATTTATACTAGATACAATATTGATCACAGGATACTTTACTATAATATTCCTGCTATGTTTATGTATTTGTAAAAGAAATTTTGTAAAACTGCGCTTAATGATTAGTAATTAACAATTATTATGTTTCAGTTAACCCTGGTTAGACAAAGAGAAAAACTAGAACCAGTCTTCAAGCATTTCTTAGTCGAGGACCGCGGCACTGACGGTTCAGCCAGCTATGTCGACTTCCTATGTCATATGCACAGAGAAATCAGAAACATCCTCAGCTAGCACAGAAGATGATCCAAAGGCAGACGGAAGATAAGATGATAGAAAATCTTGAAATTTGTACTCTGATCCTCGATAACATATTTCCTCTTGTATAAAGTATTATTAAGATCTATTTTTGTATAGGGCATGCGTTTGTAAAGGGTGCCAGAAGAAGTTCTTTAGGATTTCTAGATATTCTATTATATTATGCATTATTTTGGGGTCTAGCTTGTCGGTGCTTTTAAATAAAAAAAATCAGTATGTTTCCATATGCTCGGGAAAGGAAATACGCATTTTTTGTGTTTTATTAATTATTTCATAGCTGGCGCTTTATCCGTACTAAGCACGCGGAGCCAATTTTTTAAAACTCCTTACGCAACGGACCATGGCATCCTCTACATTCAAATTTTTGTTGCATCATTTGCACCCCAGAATGAACTTATACTAGCATTTAGCTTTTTAATTTTTATATTTTTATCAATCCGATTTCTTCGATATTGCGACTAGTATGGAGCGTTCGGAGTGCAGATTTCGTACTGAGAAGGAATTATGCTTAATATATAGAGAGATTAGTGAATTATATTTAATTATTTTGTATCTATATTTTATCGGTTTTCTTTATAATGTTTATGTAATATAGAATAATTAATAAATAAGTGTTTATTACTGTTTGTTTTATTTATGTTATTTTTTTTTATAAAAAAAACACATAAGCGTATTTTTCTATAATAATTGATATCGGATCAAGAAAATTATCAAACAACCGTCACTGCAGCCCATCTTATAATGATGAATAAGCAAATGCAGCTTTAACCCATTAACGTCCAAGCAATCTTTTTCTTCTCGTGCCGTCTCCACTAATGAAGGTTGGCTATATCCATTGTAAATTTGTCTCTATCTTCTACTTTTCTTAAGAGCGTCTGTGTGTTTAACCTGGTCCAGTCGCGAATGTTTTTCAGCTAGGATATTTTGTCATCTACCAGGACCCCCTTTTCCTTCGATTTTACCCTTCATAATCAGCTGCAATAACTCGTACTTATTATTTCTATGGCTGTCTTTCACTTTTTAATGGTGGTCAAAAGTTCTCTGTGTCTTCCCAAGATATGTTTATGATTTTTTAACAAAAAATTAACAATAACATCTAAAAAATTAAGCATGCGTGTCCACACCCTTGGCTAATACTGTTATAAGGTCTTTACACCAACAATAAATTCACGAAGATATTCATGAATTTATTCATCAATTTCTGTGTCAATAAATTCGTGAATTTCTTGGACGTAAAAGTTTCTTTGACTTCAAATAAATTTTAACATCAAGTGTCATTATTTCAGTAGTACCAATGGTTTTATTATTGGATGTTATTTATTTATGTTTGTTTGAATAAAGATATATTTGGATTTGGAAATATAATCAGAAAACAATATCGTTTTAAAAAGAAAATAGTGATTAAGATTGTACAAAAAATTATGCTGAATTTGGCAAAGAGTAAGATCTTAAACAAGAGGTAAAAATTAGTGGAAATTACATTTATAATTCGCGAAAACTGTTGATTTTAGACACAGAAGATAATTTCAAATAACTTTAATAAGGACAACATAGTTAAAGAAACAGAAAAAGTGGTAATTTTCTATGATAGGACAAGAAAATCTAGCATTCATTACATACTAAAAATTAACTGTAGTTAATATAAATGTTAATCAATTCATGGTGACTTTTAGAATGATGAAAGCTTTTATTTAAATACAATACCTGGATAGATTTTGAGAATCATGAGCGAACCTCATATACCTAACCTAGGTACTATATTCATATCACTCCATACTTTTAATTTTGCAATCTTATAATACTTGGCATTTCAAAGAAAACCATCCTTTCAGAAATCAATAACATCCATATATTTTGGAAAATGTTGATAAATCCATTTTTAAACTTTCAAGATGATAAAAACATAATGACTAGACCAAGTAAAAGATAGGAGTAAAGAAAAAGGTAGAATTATATAATCTTTTATTAACAACTATTTACTATATATTCTCAAAGCATTCAATAAATATTATTTGAAAGAAAGGGAAAAGTAAAAAATTTCTTAATAAAACTAGTTCTGCCTCGAAATTTTATGTTTTTCATAAAAAAAAATACATAATATTATTTTCTGTCTTTTATTATAGAATAATAAACTTAGCTCTTTCCCATAACTATTACTTCACACAAGACTTAAAAATGCAAAGTTCAATTTGGTTCAATAATCAAAAACAAATAATTATTATCCCTACTTCGCGCCAAATCTATACAGGTTGGCGATACTGAATTCACGTCCAATAAATGAGAAAAATAGAACATGTTCTATTTCGTCAATTTCTTCACGAAGTTATTCATGAATTTATTCACGGCAAAATTGGATGTCAAATTGTGCTTTACACACGTCAAATTTGACCTTGAAGCGACTGACTTTATTGCTGGTGTAGAGCCTGTATTACACATAGAACAATTATTATTTGTACGAAACGATTCAAAACATTTGGGATGGAGATGAATTTTATATTTTTTGCATAAATATATAGTACGACTTTTGCATAACCTACATTTCTTTCGCGCACTTGTATCGTGCCTTCTAATCAAATAACCCATATTGTCAAATCTTACATCTCTAGGTAAATTATCTTTAGAGGGACGTTCACAACTCGAGTTAGTAGCCACTTCTGTATTTACTATTTCATTACAACGTTCAAATTTCATAAGTGATACTGCTAGAAGTGATCGAAATTGTAATTGTGACATTTTAAATACTATCAGTTGCAATATTGTAAATCGTCTAGCTATTTTCGACTGTACTATCAATAAGATTCACAAATAGAGGCCACCACCATTTCTTCCCTCTTTATTTTGATTCGGTAATTAGCAATGCCATTGTCGTGCAAATCTACACCACCCATAAACATATTGTATTCGGCTACTAAATTAGGCTGAGATACGAGAATCGATACTAAATTTCGTTTAGTCCCCAATTCCATGCCAAACCTAATGTACTATACAATAGAACCTTTCTGCCTTTACGTGAATTTGACTCCGCCTTCGCGCAGCTCCATGGTCAGGAGTGCTTGAACTATCTATACCATCCTATGGTCCGAGCGAGGGTCGGCCCCTCGTTATGAGCGTACACTTAAGAAACACGTGCTATCTACTGAAATTTTTATATAATTACATAAATTCGTATTATAATATATTTTTAGGTAATGGTTAATAGGCGCGATTTTTTATTATCGATTTTACTTACCTAAACACCTATTCTCCTTCCCTTGCTGGACGTTTTGAAACATTCTTTGAATCCTTGGATTATTCATATTTTACTACAGAAGGAATGTCGCATAAAAAGTGTATATCCAATGAAATCCTATATTAACGTACCAAAATTAGGTCAGAACAAGTGGATGTCCATTAAATTGCACTTTGTTCATACGGACTACAGTTAGGATAAGTCTATCTCCACCTCCGCAATATACTAATAAACTAAAAACAGATCAGAACAAGTATATGTCCATTAAAAATATACAACGCACACTCATTAAGCATACCGTTGCGTACATGAAATACTTCTGGACTACACTGACGACGCTTCAACATATAGGACTGCTTCTGCCGCAAATCAAGCATCCTTTAATGGACGCGTTCGGCGTAAAATCCCACCAAACAAAATTTTAGACATAGAAAAGTTCTGCTCCCAAGGGACAAAATATATACGTACAGGCTCAATCACAAGAAGCGCTGCCAAGGACTGTTCGAGAGAAAAGCGCCAAGATCAGCTATATAAGTAACCGCTTCGACCAGGAGAGTCAGTTTACTTCAAGCACTAGCAAGCAGCGTTATTACTTGACTCGATAATGGAAAGAACGATCTTGCTGAAATTTCATCAAAACAATGGTTTTATTGAAAAACAAAATTATTCAACGCGGAGTTAAACTCGGAAAACTACAAAAAGCACAATTTCAAGCGTAACATTAAGAATTAAAATATGTAGAACAAGACCTAAAACAAGTCAAAAGATCTACGAACTCATCTGAACTATATAGAAAGTAAACACATGTACAATAAACAAGAGAAACATCCAAATAATAGGCCGATGGCATAACTATAGTAGCCCGTGTGAAGAAAGCATTTTAAAAGATGGACTCCGAGGCCAACTTGAAAGGAATATCTGTGAAAAAACAGTAAGTTAGGAGCATTGATGAATTGAATGAATGATTAGAGAATAAGAACAAATTTATATTTAATGACAAGCACCGAAACACAAATATGGAGACAAAAAAATACTGTTGTAATATTTGTATCAAAAAGATGCATACTAATGGCAAGATAGAAAGTACAACTAAAAAGGTTTTAAAGAGAAGTTATAAAAAAATATCGGGCTCTCGATCGAAGCTTTCAAACATTCTTTAAAAAGTGCAGAATGACAACAAAGGTCTCAAAACGAAAATCTAGCCAGGGTAAAATAACAATTCATACTGAGATGTTAAAATTAATGAAACTCTATTGTCTATGTTCTCTTATTTATGTCAGAAAAATAAGCAATTGACTGTATTCATTGACAATTGACAGAACAGTACGATACCAATCAATGCGTGAGTTTGGTATACTAGAAAAACTTATCCGATTAATGAGAATAAAAACGACTAACTTAAAAGCAAGTGTTAGGATACAGGTAGAGAGTTATAGAACTTTTGGGATAAATCAATGACTCAGAAAAGAGTCTGTCTCTGGCTTGTTTCTTAATTTAATATTGCCTTAGAAAAGGCAGTCCAAGACACACGAATTAGACACGGTGGTACTATTTACAATTCTTCTTTAAGTGCCATCTCCGCGACGAAGGTTGACAATCATCATGGCTATTCTGACCTTCGAGGCAGCTGCTCTGAACAATTGCCTTGAGCTGCAACCAAACCACTCTCTCAGGTTCTTCAACCAGGAAAACTCTCCTTCCTACGTTTCTCCTACTCTCTATTTATCCTTAAATTATGAGTCTCAAGATGTTTTCGCCTCTCATGACATGTCCGAGGTATTGCAATTTCCTTTCTGGTATTGTATTTTCCATTTCCCTCTCTCTGCCTATTCTCCTTAACACTTTTATATTCGTGACTCTATCTACTCATGGAATCTTTAACAATCTTCTAAATATTCACATTTCAAACGCGTTAAGTTGATTTATTGTATGCAGGATTAATGCCATGATTCAGCTCCATATTAGAGTACACTGTGTACATAGCATTTAATTAGCCTTTTCTGAGGGCCAATGTCAGATCTTTGCTGCATCTTTTTCACTTTTACGAAGTTGGCACGTGCTTTTTCAATTCTGACTCTTATTTCTGCAGTATAATCGTTATTTTCTGACATTATAGTTCCCAATTAAGTAATCTTTTTACTCTCTCAATCTGCTGGCCGCCTACCGTTAATATTTTGTTTTTATTGTTTTTCTTGCTAATTTTCATAAATTTCGTTTTTTTGATGTTAAGAGTGTATTCTCCACTATATCTTAATATTTTGTTCATTATTCTTTTAAGTCTTGCACGTTGTCGGCTATTATGACTGTATCGGCGGCACACCTAGTGTTGTTAATTAAAATTCCGTTCACTTTTATACCGACTGTCTCGTGTACCAAAGCTTCTTGTATGA